GTCCTTAATCCACTGGCCTGCCCCCATCCTTGGTGAGTTCTGGATAATCCTTTTAGGCTGTATGACCTGGAGCAAGCTCCACTCCCATCCCCAACCTACACCACAAGGGCTAATGGTTCTTCCAGCTCAGCTGTTCTAAGACCAACAGAAATACAACATGAGCCACACGTGTCATCCTTTAAAAAATGTTTGTATTATTTATCTATTTGGCAGCACTGGTCTTAGTTGTGGCTCGGGGGATCTTTGGTCATGGCCTGTGGGATCTAGTTCCCTGATCAGGGGTTGGACCCGGGCCCCCTGCTTTGGGAGCTTGGAGTCTTAGCCACTGGACCACCAGGGATGTCCCCACAGGTGCCGTTTTAAATTTTACAGTAGCCGTGTTAAAAGAATAAGAAAAAAAACAGGTGAAATTAATTTAACCATATATATATTTAAGTTTATTTATTTTCGGGTGTGCTGGGTTTTCAGTGCTGTGCAGTGACTCTCTCTAGTCACGGCGAACGGGGGCCGCTCTCCCTCCACGATGTGCAGAGTGCCCACCACAGTGGCTCTTCTTGTTGCAGAGATGGGCTCCAGGCTCAAGGTCCCCAGTAGTTGCAGGCACATGGGCTGACTTGCATGTGGAATCTTCCTGGCCCAGGGATCGAAGCTGTGTTCCCTGCATTGGCAGGCAGATTCTTTACTACTGGATCACCAGGGAAGCCTCAATTTAACCATACATCTTATTTCACCCAGAACATCCAAAATATTCTCATTTTAACATGTAATCAGTATAAAAATACTAACGAGATAGTTGACATTTTCTTCATACTAAATCATCTCAGTTCAGACTACCTGCTCCTCCCGTGCTCTGTGCCACACGGGCCAGCAGCTGCCTCCGCGACCCGTGCTGGGCTGGGGTTCTCATCTCATCCTGCCCCAGCCTCTGCTCTCCCTGACTCCCCGGAGCCCGGCTGGATGGCAGCTACAGGGCCCGTGACACCCAGAGCTCTGCTCTGAGGCTGGGGGGTGGTCCTTGTGGCCTTGACAGGATGTACGACCCTATGAGGCTTTCCCCCACGCCCCCCAGGCCCACCCAACCTGGGAGGAGGGGACGCAGGGGAGAAGGGCACCGCCTTCCTCTCCCCCAGAGGGGAGAGACATCACGAGGAAGACAGATCTCAGAACCTGGGGTCTCTTTCCGAGGGCGTGGGTCCCCTTCAGCTCAGATTCAGTTGAGCCAGGTGCTGGGCTAAACCCTTTACACGACTCATCTCATTTACCCTGGTGAGAGCCGGGTGAGGTGGGAAGTCAGATCCTGGGCTTTCCCAGAGGAGGAAACTGAGGCTCAGAGACATGAAAGGACTCTTTCCCTTGCTCCTCGATTCTTCTTTCATTCCGCCTCTCCCTTTCCGGCGCCTTCTTGCCCATCGTGAGTGTCTATGTGTGAGTACGTGGGGCACTGGGCGGGGGGGGGGTGGGTTGGCTACAATGCACCTGGGACCCACACACAGCCTTAGCACCAGGCATTATCATCCTGCTCACGAGCTGCCCCATTGCTGGGGATCGGGACAGTGGATGGAGGTTGGGTTCAGAGCTGGACTCTGGGATCCAGAGACACAGGACCTAAGACCCTCAGCTAAGGTGGGGGCGGCGGGGGGCGGGGGGGAGATGGGGAAGGGAGGCTGGGAGACAGAACCTTCTTCTCCTGCCCCACCCAGCACCCTGAGCCATGTCCCACCTCCAACCCCCATTTCCCCTGTCTCATTCTCTGGGACCCCAGAGTCCCTGGGCCTGGCCCTGCGCATGCTCATGAAAGAGTGTCTCCCCGGCGTTCTCATCCGTCTGTCCATCCTCCCCCTCTCTCTCCCGCCCTCCCCATCCTCCTGGCATTTGTCTCCACCTCCCTCCTCTTTCCCTCGCTCACTGCCTGAGCCTGGCTCTTGGCCTGTCTCTGTCCCACCCCGTCTCTCTCTGTGTCTCTTTCTCTCTCCCTTCACTCACCTTTTTCCCTCTGGGCCATCCCATCTTTCCCCGCGTGTCTGGGGTGTCCTCCGGGGGCCCCTAGCCTCACCCTCGGCCCCTCCAGCCTCTCGTCCTCCCTCCCTGCCCTCGGGGTCTGCTCTCATCCCTCCCCCGCAGCCCCCTCTCTCCCTGTCACTTGCTTCTTCTCCTCCTCCTTGAGCTTCAGTGGCGCCCCGCTCCCGGCTCCTCCCGCCCCTCCTCCCCGGGAAGGTGGGCGGCCAGCGAGAGGGCCCAGCGGATGACAGCCGAGCCCCAGCTTCCCTCGGAGCTGTCACCGAGGAAATCACACACCAGCGGCTGAAATTCAAATTAGAGTTTTGCTGAAGCTGCTAAAACTCATCAAATACTATCTTTGAAGTCGCCGAGCAAGCTGGCCATTGCTCTTAAATGAATCTCTGCTGGAAACCGAGGGGTGGGCGGAGGGTTTGGGCCAGGCCACCCTCCCCGGGACTCCTCCCTGCCAGGCCACCCCAGACCTGCCCTGCCACATGGCCCAGCCCCCGACCCCCAGACCTCCCGGGGTCAGCTACCAGGCTCAGCTGGCTGAGATCCCACTGCCCCACAGGCTCCCCACCCCTCCCCAGGGGATCACCCCTGCCATGGACTTGCAGGGAGGATGACGGAGAGCCGGAGGTGAGGGGATGGGGGGCGTGAACCTGACCGCACAGACTCCGCCTCCAGGTCCCGTTCCTCAGTTCCTCCCCGGCTCCCTGCCCCTCTGACTGCCCAGACGGGGCGAGAGTATTTACCCACACGGTGTGGCAAGGATTAAATGAGCCATCACACAACTAGGGCCAGCGCACGGCTCGATAAAGCACCACCATCACTATAACAGCAAGAGCAAAAACGTGGGTAACCCAGCAGCGTCTCGATCACAGCAAACACATCCACGCCAGCCTGTCTCTTGGACCTGGATCCTGTGGACTCAGAGCTACCCCAGGAGGAGCTGCGGGGATCACCTCCGTGGTCCAGAGGAGCACAGAAGCTCGCTCAGGCTCCTCCCCAGGGCTCTTCCCCGCCGCCCCCCTGCCGGCCCCTCAGTGTCCCTGCCCCAGGGTCTGGAGCTCCGTCTCGAGCCTGCCCTTTGCCCACGGCCGGCACTTAGTTTCCCCAGCAGCCTTTGGCCCACCCCTGTGACCGGATGTCTGCGTAGACGAGGGCCTGTCACCATTCCCTCCTCCGGCCTGGCCTCCCCTCCCCGCCCCGCCCCGGGCCTGCCCACTTTTCCACTGTTACTGTCCCCCCACTCATCTGACCTTCCTCACTGCAGATAATCCTTTGTGTCTGGTCTTGTCACAAGCAAGGACAGGCAGTTTTCTGCTCAGGAACTTTCAAAGTCCTTGGACTCTGCTTCTGGTGATCGCTGAAAGACGACTCCAGGGAAGGGCAAAAGTCACGAGGCTGAGATGGGGAGACGGAGCCCCGAAGACCTTGGGAGCATGAGAGAGGGGGCCCACCGTGTATACCCAGGAGGGCATGGCTGGCATTTGTGCACCAGCGCTGTGCCTAGCGCTGTAGGACGGTCCTCGGTTGAGCTTGCCTATGGCACAGGGTTGGCGCCTGCTGGGCAGGCAGCCCCAGGGAGGGCCCTTGGCCCCAGAAATGGCCATGTTTGGCAGGCGCTGAAGAGTCAGGTGGACGCTCAAATCAAGAGGTGGGAACCAGTGGGGGCGTGGAAGGGCAGCCAGAAGCCACCAACCCTGAGTTTCCCTTTAAGGGGACACCAGCCCAGCGCTCCCAAGTTCTAGGTGGCTGGAGAAGGCGCCCAGCATGGACACGTCACTGTGATGAGTGATGGCAGAAGTTCAGGACGCTGCAAGTCGGAGGATGCACCCAGCCCAGGTGCAGGGAGCCGAGGACGGCTTTCCAGACGCCTGAAGTTGGAGTAGCTTGAAGCTGAGATCACCAGGCAAAGGGGTGGGGAAAGAGGAGTGCGCCCATGAGAGACCGGCGGAAGGGAGCCAGGGGACCCCGGCAGACTAGGGACACTGAAGCTCAAAGTGGTTGTTGCTTAGCCTGGGGAAGGAGGCGTGGTGAGACCCGTGGCTGAAGAGGTAATCAAGAGCCAGGATGCAGAACTCTCTAGGTAGGGAACTGATACAGAAGAAGGGATTGCCAAATGCTGCCTGAAAATTCACTCTTCCAGGATTTGGTGGCTGAGTTCAGACTAGCCAGATTACCCTGAGTACCTACTATGTGCTCTAAGTGCTATGTGAACAAAATGACTGTCGACGTAGGAACACCCCTAACAGAGCCTCCTGGGCCCTGAGGGCCCAGCACGGCCGGGCCATCATCTCTGGTCAGGGTGCAGGGACCACAGGCCAACCAACATTCACCACGAGATTCAGGCAACCGTCTCAGATGCTCTGGCAGCAAGGGCAGCCTGACGGCCTTTCAGATGAGGAAGCTGACACTAAAGAGGAGGACGCCTCAGTCACCCAAGAAGCCAAGGTCACAGCCGAGTTAGTGTCGAGGCCAGCATTCAGAGCCCAGAGTGCCCATCCAGCACTTTCAACTTGATCGAGTGAGCCTCAGAGCATGAGGCTCTCGGTTAGGAACTTCTGATGCTGCTGAAACCTAACACATTCAGCCTGCATGCATCTCCAGTTGTGTGCCGGGCGCCGTGCTGCATGTTTGGAAGCTGTGCTGTGGACAGGGGAGGGGCAGGGATCAAACAGCGTCTGAGCCGCACCAAGGCCCTTTCAGAAGGATGCAGGAGACAGTGAGTGCTGTGCAAAGACAAAGAGTGATCTGAGAGAGGAGGAGGCCACGAGGGATGCAGACTATGAAAGGATGCCTGGGCCCCCACCCTGGACCCCACCCTTCCAACCCTGAGGCCAGGGGGATTGCTGAAACCATCTGCCGGGGTTTCCTATCCTGCCCTTGCGTGCTGTTCGCTGAGCCTGTGTGCGTGCACGCGTGTGCACGTGTGATGAGCAGGAGCTGCTGACAAGTGCCCCAGGTGTATTTCAGGGGCCGTTAAAGCTCCGTGTTTAATGGCTGGAGCCACAGTGGTCACGGCTGTCATCGGAGATTTCACGGGCTCGTTTACATCTTTAGCTTCCTCCTTCGGAGACAACTTCATCATCCCCAGCTCCCCCCAGCCCCTCAGCGGTGGTGCGGAGAGGAGGTGGGGTTCAAAGCTCTGGTGGGGGAACAGGCTGGCAGAACAAGCCCGAAGCCCTGGCTGAGGGCAGGGCAGGCCCTGGGGTGGGGTCCCGGATCAGGCTTATCCCCAGCTGCCCCGCTCAGAGCCAGCGGGCAGGAGGGGGTTGGGAGGGCCAAAGGCGGGATCTGCACATGGAGACAGGGCTGGGGGACCAGCAAGAGCCAGGATCTGGAAACCAGGAGGTCACAGATGGGTGAGGTCAGGAACTCTGGAGTCAGTAAAGGGGCTGCCAAAATGGAGCTGAGAGTCCCAGGAGTAGGCTGAGAATTCCTGGCTGCACTGGGAGGAGCAGGCCCTTCATGCCCTTCCCTGGAAGTCGCTCAGAACTGTCAGGGCCTCCAGAGGCCCAGGGCTGCTGGGAGGGGTGGTCCTGGCTACAGTCAGACTTCCCAAAGCTGCTTCCAGCCAGAGCTCGGGACCAGCCCCCAGAAGCCAAGATATCAAAGGTAAGATGTGCGCTCGGTCTCTGTCTGACTCTTTGCAACCCCATGGACTATAGAGTCCATGAAATTCTCCAGGCCAGAGTCCTGGAGTGAGTTAGCCTTCTCCTTCTCCAGGGTATCTTCCCAACCCAGGGATCGAACCCAGGTCTCCCGAGTTGCAGGAGGATTCTTTACCAGCTGAGCCGCCAGGGAAGCCCAAGAATACTAGAGTGGGTAGCCTATCCCTTCTCCGGTGGATCTTCCCAACCAGGGATCGATCCCAGGTCTCCCACACTGCAGGCAGATTCTTTACCAGCTGAGCCACAAGGGAAGCCCAGGATGTGCGCTAGAAGTGGGTAATCAGGAGTTTTGAAGTCTTTGGTTTACATCAGCCACTTAGCCGCTGGTGCCTCTGAGGACATCATTCCCATCTGGAGCCCCCCCATCCTCTCCTTTATAAAGTGGGTGATCACAAGGCACTCAAGTATCGTAAGGTGCATGCCACAGACGAACAGGCATTTCCCACACTCTGGGGGGTGCCAGGGTGGGACCAGGCGATGCGAACACAGCACTGAGCACACGCCCTGCACAACTTGAGAACCTACCCCCAGTCAGCTGCTGCGGGATGATGAGGATGATCAAGGGGTAAATGCCAGGATGCTGGGCGCAGGGAGCACCCTACCCAGACTTCCGGACTGCAGTTCAGGGAAGGCTTCAAGGAGGAGGTGATGTCCAAGCTAAGACCCATGGGAGAAGTAGAATTGGGCCCTTTGGGGAAATGGCAGGGCCAGGGGAGGGTGTGCAAAGGCCCAGGGCAGACAGGAGAAGAGGGCAGGGAAAGAGCAGATGCCAGACTTCAAAGGGCATTGTTTCTCAGGCCAAGGAGCCAGGGCTTTCTCCTGGGACCGCGGGGTACCTGCAGCTGGTAAGCAGGGGAGAGTGGTGCTTGAGAAAGGTCACCCTGCCCGTGGTCAGAAGCGAGATTGGAGAGGGGGCACCCGGAGCAGACAGCCGCCCTGGCATGATGGAGTTAAAGAGGGGGTGGATTCACTGGGTGGTCCCAAACCAGAAGCGCGATTCCTGGGGCTCCTGGGGAGGAGGCATCGGAAAGGCTGAGCCCCTGCCCATCGCCATCTCCAGGCGAGGGCAGGCTGTCTCCCCATCATCAGTACTCCTTCCACAGCCCCGGACCTGCCAGCAGCCCCCGGAAACATCCCCTCGGAGAGGAGACTGCGAGGCGAGGCGCCTGATGGACCTGCACCTCGGTGCCGCCCCGCCCCGCCAGCCCCGCACCCGGTAATCTGCTTTCACCAGGAACGTTGTCCTTCAGTCTCCGCCAGCTCCCAGCTCAGAGCCGGGAGGGCGGGGCACCCAGGGCGGAGAAGCTGCCTCTCTTCCCCAACAAACGACCTTGGGCCAGGCTGGGAAGAGCTTGGCCGGAATTCAAACAGCCCAGGCCCCCACCCCCGCCCCTACCCCCGGCACCCTGGGCTCTCGCCCCTTCCTCCAGCCACCTCCCCGAGAGTGAATCTGCACTTGGGACCATTTCAAACTAAACTGGACTCTTGGGAGCTCCGGCCACTGATGGGCCTCCGGCTCTCACTTGACTCTCTGTCTCTTACTCAAGAAACCCTCCCCCACCCGGGGTCGTCTGGCCAAGATTGACACACACCAGTGTGAGCATCAGATATCCTGGGATCACATCTCAGCTCAGCCGCTTGCTGGCTGGGTGACCTTGGACAGCTTGCTCTCCCTCTCTGAGCCTCCAGGGAGACTAATGTACATGGTGTGATACCCTTGGTGTGGGGTTCCTGGATGGTGAGATACAGCCTTGGTGTGGGGGTCCTGGACAGGGGAATTGCAAAGCATCTCAGCAGATAGCCCATGATCGATGACCCGCTTCCAGCTGCTGATCTCCCCTTCCCTTGGGGAAGCTACCCGCAGCCCCACCCCACCACACCTCTCCCTGAGGCTGACCTGTGATCAAACCCTTGGCCTGGCCCCCTCTCCACGTCCTAAAAAACTCTCCCTGGTGAGATGGCCTCACGTGGGGGCCCTAGCAATGGACAGGGGGGCCAGAAGATTGGGTGCTGGTCCCAGATGTGTGGCTGCTGCTGGCTGTGTGACCGTGGGGGGATCACCTGCCCTCTCTGGGCCTGTGACTCCTCCCCTTCTCCACCCTGCAAGCGCACCATCACCACCCTGTTTAGCTGTCTGTCCTTCCTTTGGGCCATTTAGCAGCTTGTCGGTGTTCCCGCTGCAAGGCCATGGAAGGCTCTATTCTGGGTCTCTCAGACAGGCAGAGACTGGAGGGCCACTGGTGTGTCCCCCCCACACCGCCCCCCCATCCTAACACTTCTGGGCCTCAGAAAACTGGGTGGAGGGGATGGAGTGGGAGTGTCACGGTGCCCCAGTGGCAGAGGAGCTGGTGGGGCCGGGAGGGAGGGAGAGGGCGATGGGTGGGGCACAGCGCCCCTCAGTTTGGAGCAGCTCAGTGACCCTGCAATGCAGGGCCAGGGCTCCCCCCTCCCCCCACGCTGCGGGTCCTGCAGTGATGGCAGTGGGCAGTGACGGTGGTGGCCACCAGCGGGTGGGGGTGGCCTCGGGGCTGGTCACGACCCCGTGGGTGGGGCGAGGGGACTCCTGTAATCAGATCCTCCCAGGCGGCCAGAGAGGCCCTGCCCCTCCCATCACACCCTCTGCCTCAGAGGCTTTAATGAAAATCAGACAGAGATCTTTAGAGCTGCTTAGCATTTCAATACATTCAATATTGGGTATTACCAAGTCACCCTCCTAAAGCTATTCCCTGCTCTGGAGAGGTGCCACCCACCCCCAACAAGTCATGTCACCCAGGCACTCTCATTCTCCTACACACACACACACACACACACACGCACACACATGCACACACACACACACACACACTCACGCAGGCCTCTGAGTGTGTCTCTCTGTCTCTCTGCATCTCTCTCCCTCCCTCCTTCTCTGATTGACTCTCTCCCGCAAACACAGAGAGATGCTCCCATCTGTCAGAATACCGATGGGGGCTCATCTCCTCCCGACAGGCAGAATGATGATGATAAGGTTATTTTTTTAATATCAGGGATATTAATGCTCCTCTTTCTGATAACAAGCCACAGACTGATCACTCCTGCCCCCGCCTCCCACCTCCCCAGAAGACAGTCTCCAGGCCGGGCATGAAGCAGAGGTGGGAGGTCCTACTAGGCACCAGGCACCTTCTAAATCATCAAACCCCTAAACAGCAGGTGGTGGTGTTCCATCTTTCAGACGGGGACCTGAGGCTCAGAGAGGTGAAGTGACCTCCCAAAGACACACAGCTTTGGCAACAGCCCGCATCCCACCCCACCCCACCTCTGTAACCCACAAATCATCACTCGGGATGGCCTCTGCTCTCCCTCACTGCCCACCAGGCCCAAGTCTGGAGCTCCCACTCATCTGAGTACCCCCTCTCTCCCCTCTCCCCGCTGCCTCACCACAGCGGGAGTGTGGGCTCTTGAAACCACAGTTCTGGGTTTGAACCCCGGGTCTGCCGCTTCACAGCTGTGGCATCTTGGATGGATCATGTCGCCTCACCTCCACCTGATTTTCCTCATTTATAAAGTGGAGATAATAATAGAACTTGCTTCAAAGGGCTGTTATTAAGATTAATAAGAATAGTGAAGATCCTGCCTCATCATCCCAGATGTCGAGAGCCCGTGGAGGCCTCCCCACCACGCTGAGCTGCACACCAGAGAGGTCATGTCATTTGCCTGCAGTCACACAGGCAGGTAGGGGGCAAAGAGGATCTAGCCCCCTTCCTGGGTCTGGGCCACGCCCCCCTGCCCCCACCAAAGGTTGCCAGGACAAAGGCAAAAAGTCCTCATGGAGGTGGCCCCATACTGCGTGTTGAAGCTTTGGTGTCCAGCGCCAGCTGAGATGAGCCCTGCTCTCGTAGGAAGGGGGCAGGTGGATTTCCAAACTGAGCTGAGCTGTGGAGGGCTTTGCTAAAGAGTGGACTTGGGCCAGGGTCCAGGGAGGGCCTCTCAGAGGATGAGCAGGAGAGGCTGGAGGGCGGGGGGGAGGTCCAAGGCAAAGGCTGTGCGTGGAGGGGGCACCATGCAGACAGGGAGGAGGTGGTGCTGGAGAGGTGGCCGGGTCCAGACCGCCAGGACAGGTCCTGCAGGCATGGTGAGGATCTGGGTCTTTGGAGAGAGCAGGGGAAGGCTCTGGAAACATTCTAATCAGGGAAGGAAGCGCATGGGGCAGGGACCAAGCATGAGAGTTTGTGCTGACTGGTCCTTCTGGCTGCGGCATGGAGGGGCTTACAGGGTGTGAATGGGGGCAGCCACGTGTCCCCAGAACTGTCTTGCTCTAGCTGATGGAGGCGCAGCCTGGATGCTGGTGGTGGTGAGGAGCAGATGGGGTCATGATACATTTTGGTGCAGAAGGAGAGTCACAGAGGAAGAAAGCAAATGTAGGGTTACCAGGGGATTGCAGTTCAGTTCAGTTGTTCAGTCATGCCCGACTTTTTGCGATCCCATGGACAGCACGCCAGGCCTCCCTGTCCATCACCAACTCCCAGAGTTCACCCAAACTCATGTCCATTGAGTCGGTAATGCCATCCAACCATCTCATCCTCTATTGTCCCCTTCTCCTGCCCTCAATCCTTGCCAGCATCAGGGTCTTTTCCAGTGAGTCAGCTCTTCGTATCAGGTGGCCAAAGTATTGGAGTTTCAGCTTCAACATCTGTCCCTCCAATGAACACCCAGGACTGATCTCCTTTAAGGTGGACTAGTTGGATCTCCTTGCAGTCCAAAGGACTCTCAAGAGTCTTCTCCAGCACCACAGTTCAAAAGCATCAATTCTTTGGCGCTCAGCTTTCTTTATGGTCCAGTTCGGGGCTCTCGGGGGAGGGATAAACTGGGAGATTGGGACTAACACCTGGACAGTACCACATACAAAACAGGCGACTAATGAGTCTGAGCAAAGTCCGAGATTCAGTGAAGGGTGGGGAAGCCTGGCGAGCTGCAGTCCAAGGCATCACCAAGAGTCGGACACAACTGAGCAACTGAACAACAGCAATGAGAACCTACTATATAACACGAGGGAATTCTACTCAATACTCTGTAATGGCCTATGTGGGAAAAGCATCTAAAAAAGAGGGGCTGTATTATACGTATTAACTGATTCACTTTGCTATACACCTGAAATTAACACGCATTGTACATCAACTATACTCCAATTAAAAAAATTTGTTTTAAAGATTTGGTGGTAAAATCAAAGGACTTGGAATGTCCTGGATACACAGCTGATGGAGAAGGAGGAAGAGGGTTAAAGTTCAGGTTCCTGATATGTACAACTGGGCGGATGGTGGTGTGGGCGAGGACGGGCCATGGGACAGAGAATCATGGAGCGTGCATCTGGGCGGGGTTGTTTGGGGGACTGTGGAGGTGATGATGGACAAGGAGGGACAGAGAGAGTAAAACATGGAGTCCGTGAGGACAGATGATTCAAGAAGTTTGCTGGGAAGGGGAGGAGAGAAGGATGGGCAGGGGGGAAGTGGAATAAACGGAGGGTTGGTTCTATTTTTCCAGGACAGGAAAGACTTGAGCATGAAGGATGGAGCAAGCCTAGACCTTTGAGGCTCATCCCAATTTCGTCATCTTTCTACTCTATTCTGCTGCTTGCCACTGGTTCCAAACTGTGGAAGTGATTGATTATATGTAAACAGGAGGAAGCAATTAGTCTGTGCATGCCTGGCCATTAATAAGCCTCTTATGTATTTATAACAACACCTCATTTACCCTCCAACCTGAGAACAAACAGCCTGGAATGAGCAGAAGAGACCTCTGAACAGCCGCGACCTCGGGCTCTCATCTGTGTTCTTTATTCACGAGAAGATCCCTCGCTTAGAACCCATTGACTCTCACTTTACATACAATGCTAATCAACGTGCGTTTTTAAGTCCACAACTGATTAGAAGCCTCAGTTTAGGAGGCACTTGGGAACTCTCAAAGGCCCAGAGAGCACAGGCGGCTGACGGCCTGGGAGAGAGGAAGAGAGAGAGGCTAGCCAGCAGAGCGCCCTGGGCTCATTCAGCGGACAAGGGGGAACAGGCCCACCCACGTCTGCGACGCGGAGGGCACCTCTGTCTCCTGCGGCCCCGCCGGCAGCGGCGTGCCAACGCGTCTCTAGGTCCTTTTCCACATCAAGGTTCACTGATTCTTGCTCACACCATGCCTCTGAGCGCCCGAGAAAGGGCTGAGTTACTCGGTATGTTCTGCTTCAAGGACTTTTTTTTTTTTTTAATATTTTAAATTGTAAATTTTAAGTTTTGGTGCCTACCGTTCCTGAAATATTCCCTTACGTGGAGGGGGATTTTGTAATTGCCTATTTAATGATCTGCTTCCCCGTTAGACCGCAGCTCTGGGCAGCGTCCCCTACCTTATTCCCAGCACCAGGCACAGCCCCACAGAAGGGGCTCAATATATCACCGTTGAATTACTGAATTGATTAATAAATTAATATTACACACCGGGCAACATGCCCGCAAGAAATATATTATTACACTTAATTCCACCTCTTTTTGTTTTTTAATAGCGCTGCTAGAAAAAAATCAAGTTACCCATGGGGCACACGCTATACTCCTAGCGGACAGGGCTGGCTTAGGCCCTGGCTCTAGAAGTGCTGCTGCTGCTGTTTCAGTTTCTCAGGCGTGTCTGACTCTTTGCAACTCCACAGACTGTAGTTCGCCACCCTCCTCCGTCCATGGGATTTCCCAGGCAAAGATACTGGAGTAGGTTGCCATTTCCTTCTCCAGGGGATCTTCCTGACCTAGGGATCAAACCTGCGTCTCCTCCTTGGCAGGCAGATTTTTACCACTGTACCACCTGAGTTTAGACGCCTTTCCTGTGGTCCGGGTGAATCGCTGCTATGTCATGGAAGTGACTTCCTTACTTGTCCCCAGGAGGTTGCCTCCCCTCCAGCCTGGGAGCACATCATGGGCAGGGTCCTATCTTACGACCTGGGAACCCCAGCCCCAGCCCAGTATGGTGGGGGGCAGCTCCATGCTCCCTTCATGACCATTCAGTTCAGTTCAGTTCAGTTGCTCAGTTGTGTCTGACTCTTTGCGACCCTATGGTCACATGCCAGGCCTCCCTGTCCATCACCAACTCCCAGAGTTTACTCAAACTCTGTCCATTGAGTCAGTGATGCCATCCAACCATCTCATCCTCTGTTGTCCCCTTCTCCTCCTGCCTCAATCTTTCCCAGCATCAGCGTCTTTTCCAATGAGTTGGTTCTTCGCATCAGATGGCCAAAGGATTGGAGTTTCAGCTTCAGCATCAGTCCTTCCAATGAATATTCAGGACACGGGGAAATGAGTAGAGCCAGCAGGTCACACGTGGGGAAACTGAGGCCCTAGACAACACAGGCCTCACGTCAGGAAGCTGGCTCTTCCTGAGATCTCCAATGGCTCACCCCCACCCCGGCTCATCCCGGATCCTGGCCCTGGGGAGAAGGAGAGCTTTCTATGCAAATGTGAGGGATGTCTGCCCTCTCCAATCCCCTCACAGACTGAACCAGGCAGAAGCTGAGAAGGGGCGGCGGGGCAGGCCTTTCTCTGCAGAAGTCTGGGCCCTGCGTGGACAGCTTGGGGCAATAAGCCATCCAGGGTAGGGGTCAGGGTGGCTCCAGGGTGAGTGAGGTCTCATCACAGCCAGTGCCCCCGACCCACACGCTGTCTCATACCCATCTCCTGCTCGACACCTCTTCTCCCTGTGCCCGCAGGGGCGCCCCGCAGGGCCCATCCCTCGGAGACCAAGGACAGCCCAGCTCCCGCCCCTCACCCTGCAGAAGAGCGGTGTCCTCCAACTGGAGCTGGCGTGACAAGCCTCCAAGCACGCGTGCACCTGTGAGCTCATGTGAGCCTCAGAGCAACCCTCTTTGGTGGCACATCCATCCTTATTACGCAGTTTGCTCCTTATTCTCATACAGTTGGGGAAACAGGCCCAGAAAGGTGCAGTGGGAAGAAATACTCTTGGGAGGGTATTTCTCCCTGAAATGGAGACTGTAATGGAGAACGTAACAGAGGGGCTTGCCAGCCATTCCTGCAACTTCTCTCGTCACTCCCAGAAGGAAAAGACGAGGGTCAGAGAGGGGCCCTGAGCTGGGAAGGACTGGCTGCACGGCCGCCCTGTTTGGTCGGGTCCAGCCCTGCCTGCCCCACCCCCACCTTGCTCCACATAGTAAAGGCCCAAAGTACCCCTGCGATGATGGGAGGGCCGAGTGCTGTGCAGATTCACCCCCCACGAGAGCTGAGGTCAAGCTTACGTAGCAGGTCCAGCTAGCACAGATGCGCAGTCCAGAAAGCAGGATGTCCTGTAACCCGGAAACGGCCTTCCAGCAATGACGGCCTCAAGCACTGGGCCAGCGGGGCGTGGGTCTCCACGCATCTGCTCGAGGTGTATTGGATCATCCAGCAGACGTTCTCAGAGCACCCACTGTGCACCAGGAGAACGCATCAGGACCCAGCGGGGACCCTGCCGCGGGTGTTCAGGACCCGGTCGGGAGACGCGACACGCTCCATGAGCATCACGGAGTCTGCTCGTGCGCCTCACAGAGTTTCCTGCTCCAGCAATCAACCCTCACAAAGCTCATGCTCCTTGTCTTTAAAATGGGGGCGAGGCAGGGGCGGGGGAGGCGGGAATTCTATGAGAGAGGCATGCAGGGCCCAGCCTGGGAGGCACACAGTGAAGGACAGCTGCAGGTGAGCTGAAGACAGGGGTTGGAGCTTGGGATGGCGGTGGACGTAGTCAATGGCTGCTTCCTCCCCATGGACAGACAGTCAGAAGGGAAGGTGTGGGAGGAGAGACCCCAGGAGAGGGCATCGTGGGGGAATCAGAAGCTCAGCTAGCCAACAGAAAGCAAACTGCTCTTAGTCCGTGGAACGTTTGGTGGAATAAATTTCTCACTTTGCGCAAGAGGATTCAGAATATGGAGGAGGCCCCTGACAGAGAACTCCCCCTCATGCTTACCAAGTCCTTCGAGGCTTCCCCGGCTTCCTCACCTTCAAAATGGACAAAGCCTAGGTTCGACGGGCTTCGCCTCCACCTGGGGATGGAGAACCCCAGCCCCATACAACACCTCCTCCATCAGCGAATATTTCTGGGAGCCCTGGCTGGGGTACGGGATGCCCAGGAGTGCCTTGATTGCATCCTGAACCGCCTGCTTCTTTCTGCCCTCCCTGGCCCACAGCCCAGTGGCCCAGGAGCCAGGTGCCAGCCAGAGACTCTTCTTCTGTCTGAAGGAAGCTCAGAAGGAAGGTCAAGAGTACTGTGTGCTATGGCCACCTCTCTGCAGGTCTGCACACACTTGTAATTAAAATGTTTGTACTAGTAACTTTAAATACTAGGAGACACCACATAAAAATCCCAGATACACAGCTTCTCTTGAAAATGCAGAGAAATGGGCTGATACCCCCAGGGCAAAGTTGACTGGAGCTGGGAACACTTCCCTTGGTAGGTTTCATTAGCGTGCCGGCCTGTCTCAGGTGGCCATTTGAGTCTGCCTCTCTGGGTCTAGTTCCAGTCTGCTCCCGTTAGCCTCAGCCTCCCTGAGCAGTGTTGGTTTGAATGCCTCTGGTAACAAGGGACCAACTACATCTTTGAGGCAGTCGGTCTGAGCTGTTCAAAAAGGGCTCCTAATACAAGCCGTCTTCCCCTTTCTTTAACCAAGAAAGACATACAGGAAAAGAAGTGGGCTTTGGAGTCCGGCAGATCTGGATCTGAGTACCTCTCTAGCGTTTAGCCAGCTGTGCGATCTCAGGCAAATGATGGCCTTTGTGCGCTTCAGTTTTCTTAGCTGCACCTCCCCTGCAGGGCTGTGCGAGGCTTAAAGTAGAGCAAGTTTATAAAATGCCTAAAGCAGGGTCTGTGACACCGCATGGACTCCCCAAATGGTCTTTATCATCCTGTGTAACCTCCAGCCATGGGTCCGATTCTTCCCCAGAGAGCAGAAGAGTGGGAATACACTCAGAGGGTGCTGAGCAGCAGATGGAAGTCAGAGGCAGAGGCGGAACTCGCCCTGGTGGGCACACACTTGCTGGCCAGCCCCCAGGACTGCAGATCTCTGCTTCCCAGTTTGGCCTACCGGTACTCCCAGGGAGAGAGTCAGCTTCAGGAGGGAGCCCTTTCTCTGGTCCTTCCCCCAGACTGCAGCCTCCCCGGCACCTGCCCCCCCCCCCCCCCCAGGAGGCGATCCCTAATCCTGGGCCTGGAACTGGAGTGGGGAAGGTCAAGGGAGGAAAAGCAGGGAATGGTAACCGCCTTCAGCCAAGCTGGCCATCTGGCTGTGTGTCTGGCCGACGGCAGGGCCCCTTACCTGGGTCCTTGCATATCATTTTCACATCCACTCTAGGACACAGACCCTCTCATCCCTGTTCTACAGACATGGACCTGGAGACTCAGGGAGGTTTAGAAACTTGCTCAAAGCCAGCCCTGAAACGTCGGTCGGGTCCCCGAGCGCGGAGCCCATGATCACGGCGCTCTAAGGCCTCACCTAAATTCGGGGTGCCCAGTCATTGGGGGTGGGGCAGGGGAGAGCATTTTTAACTAAAAGCGCTCCTGAGTTTGTCTCTGAGCCGGTGTCTGAGCCTCCGTTCGTGAACTAGTGTGTGCACATCACCTCGTGCGAGGCAGTTTGTTGGGGGGTGCGTGTGCCTGAGGGTCACGTGTGTAAGAGTGAGCGTGTCCGTATCTATCCACGCAGGGCCTCCCACCCCACCGTGGGTCTGGGTGTCGCGAGGCGTCCGGATCCCTGGTTGGGTGCGCGGCGGCTGAGTCCAAGCCGGGCGCGGGGTGAAGGTGCTGGCGCGAGCGTGCGCACGTGGGGCGGGCGGCGGTGTCCGCGGGTCGCTGTCCGCGGTGCGGGCTCCGTGTCCCCCCCGCACCCGCCTCGGTGCTGATTGGCTCGGCGCCGCCGTGACGGGCCGGCACCCGCCCGGGGCGGCGGCGGCGGCGGCGGCGGCAGGGGCGGGCGCGGGTGCCCGCGTGTGCGCTGCGAGCCGGCGTGTGCGCCGGTGTGTGCGCCCGGCCGCCGGGTGTGCGGGAGAGCAGGGAGCGCGCCGACGCGCGGGCGGCCGCGGCCGAGCCCAGGGTGCGCGGCGCCCCCGCCCGCCCGCCCGCCCGGCCCGGCCATGGCCCCCGCCCGGGGCCGCCTGCCCCCCGCGCTCTGGGTCGTCACGGCCGCGGCGGCGGCAGCCACCTGCGTGTCCGCGGCGCGCGGCGAAGGTGAGCGGCGGCGGCTGGCGGGGCGGGGGCGGCCGAGGGGCCGGGGGCGCGGCGCGCGCAGCAGCCGGAGCGAGCCTGCCGAGAGGCTCAACTTCCTTCCCCTCGACCCCAGTGCCCGAGGGGCTGGGATCCCTGGATCTGGGTGGGGAGGGGTGGCACCGCAAGAGACCCGGGGTCAGGGGACGGAGCGCCGGGGACAGGGCTGGGGGGAGAGGGGCCGGGGGCCTGAGGAGGGACAGGGAGGCACGAGGGACAGGGGGACGGGACTCAGGGCTTCGGAGCTGGGGACAGGGAACTGAGGATCGGGCACTGGGGATGAGGAGACAGGACCCGAGGATGGAAGACAAGAGAAGAGACAGAGCGGAGAGAGGAGACAGGGCAGGGGATGGGGTGGGGGCAGAGGACAGAGCGCCCGGGATGCAGGGCGAGGTTCAGAGGGCTGAAGAGAAGCGGCGGGGATGGAGCCCAGGGATGGGGGCCAGGAAGGGAGGCAGGAGGACCAGAGAACGGAACCAGGTTTGGGGGAAGACCGGCGTGAAGGGCAGGGAATGAGGGTCTTGGAAGTGGGCTGGGCTGGAGGGCTGGGGGCCAGGGGCGCGGAAGGACAGCAGTCGCCAGGGACTGTCTGCTGGGAGGGGAAGCAGCTTCGGTGGGCGCTGGGGAGAAGGGGCCCCGGGAGGAGGGGGCTGAGCAGGCTGCAGATAGACTGAGGCAGGCAAGGCCCGGAGGGCTGGGTCTAGTCCAGGGACAAGGCTGGGGAAGTCCGGTCACTCTGGGGGACACAGCATGAGGGTGTGGGCTGAGCATTAGAGACCAAAAGGATCTGGGAGGGGATAAGGGAAGCCAGGAGGGGGCATCTATCAGGTTTCACCAACACCTAGGGCTGCACACCTGCGTGAGCGTGTGCGTACACACACACACACACACACACACGCACACTCACACCTTAGTCCACCGGGCACCCCAGGTCCAGTTCAGGACACTGCCCTGGGTTCTGCTCCTCGCCCGACCCCTGCCCTGGACCCCCTGTCCTCTTGCAGCTTTGCCAGGAGGAGGCCTGACTTGGGGGTCTGTGCAAATCCTAGGGTTCACCGCCTGGGTCCAGAGCCTCGTCCTCAGCCTGGCAGGATGAACTCCTAGATTCCAGGGAGCTCCAGAGCCGGTGTCCCTCATCCACGCTCAGACACACCACCAGTCCATCCCTCACACACGAACAGCTCACAGAGATGCAGCCGTACCCACAGCCACACATGCAGCAGCAGCCACATGCTGGGATTCACACACAGAGACCCAGGCCCGCAGAGACTCGTGTGCGTGGACAGCCCCCACACCCCTGTAGTCAGATGCCCAGAAGTGCGGACAGTACACACGTGCACGCGTGTGCATGTAAAGATTCATGGGTGTGAAAATATGCACAGCGTGGGCAGACACCACATATATGAAAAGACCCTCAGACTTGCATTCCTGTCCCTAGAAACACATGTGCACGGCACCAATGCACACAGATGTACATAAACTCAACCTCCAATGAGACAGGGGCCACACGGAACAGGGACCATAGCAAGGGAGCGGAGGGGTGAGCCGGGAAGGGGTGAGCCGGGAAGGGGTGAGCCGGGAAGGGGACACAGGGCCCTGGGAAGCCTGGGAGCTGGGGCCCGAGGACACAGTTTCCTCTGGGTTGGATGGGGAGAAGGCAGCAGTTTCTTTACCCAGCGGGTTTCTGAGGGGCCCACAGCAAGTGCCTGGGCATTGGGTGGCGTGCTTCAACCCTCGTCTTTGGGGAGGATCCAGCGCCCTCCAGAATGCCAGACTGGCAAACCCCAGATCCCCCTAAGAGGGGACTTTGACCCGGCTCCTGAGCAGAGGGTAGACTGTTTTGGCCTGGGAGAGAGGCTGTGTCCGGGGAGGGGCTGGAAAAGAGGCAAGGTCACCAGGCGAGGAAGCGGGGTGAGGGGGGTGTATATCAGGGGTGGGAGGGAGGCAGGCAGGCCAGGTGCCAGGGCCTGGCCACACCTATTTGATCAGCGCAGCAGGGCACCCCTGCCTGGGCACAGGTTACCCACGCAGGTCTGACGGTCCTGCGTGGAGACCTGGGGCCTGGGTTCCACGCAGGACAGCCAGAAGTCTGTGCACTGGTGCAGGGCCAGGACCTGCCGGGGAGACTATGGGAACTCAGGGAGGAGACTCTTTTCCCAGTGGAGGTCCTGCAAAGGTGACAGTGCCCCAGGCTACCCAAGTGCCCCTCTGCCAGGTCCCTCACAGGGCTGGGGACGGCCCTACACCTGCAGAGATGCCCCCAAACCCCACCAGGCTCAAAGCCCCTTATCACTCTCTGATGTGGATTATCCACCAATTTGGGGTGATCTCCGAGGCATTCACATCCCAGCTGACATCCCCTGGCCACCCCGAATTCTCCAGCCTCACCACCATGCACTCTGTCCTCCGGGAATGTAAATCAATTTAAGTATTAGTCTCAGCGAAATGGAATGGGGGAAGGTGACGGTGCGGGAGAAAAAAAAGGAATCACATAATACCTTCCTCAGTCAAACAGGAAAGGCTTAGGAATTATCTGTGCTTCTCAGAGCAGGGCGGGGGACCCGTTTGATTCCCCAGAACAGGCCGGCAGGTAGGCCCAGGAGGGACGCCTGCAGACATCTGGCCGATGAGGAAACTGAGGCACAGAGGGGTTAAGTGGTTGCTTCCCTGAGGGCCCTGAGAGACCGTGTGTCCAGTTTTCCCATTTGCAAGTGGGGAGATGGGCCCAGAGAGGGTCATCGGCTTCCCAGGGGTCACATAGACCTATAGTCCAGCAGAGCAAGAGGGCAGAGAAAGGCGGCCCTGGTGAGCCGAAGCGGTGGCCTCTCCAAGGGGACTCAGGCCCCGGCAGGAGGGGCCTTAGCCCTGCACTTCCCTCCAGCCCCGTGAGACCTCCTGTGGGCCTGGAGCCTCCCGTGAGAGACCCTCTGCGTCCCCCCATAGAAGGGGACAGGACATGGGGAAGAGCGGGACAGAGAGAGAGGAGGGGAGGGGACAGACAGAGGTGAGTCTGGAAGGAATTGGAACAAGCAGCCGTGGAATCTGGTCGCTCTTCCTGAATCCAATGGACTTTTGACTTATCTTTGGATTATCTGAGCCCCCCTTGGCTGACTGATCACGAATCAGCTGCAGATGTGGTTGGGGATTCCCAGCAGGGAGGGAAGGGCCTGGAAAGTGGGGGTCCGCAGGACGCTGCCTCTAGAGTCGGAGTATTCATGGGGAGAAGTCCCAGCGGTCCCTGGGTGGGCACAGGTCTGAGCTGCGTCCAGGGGTGCTGACCCGGGGTCCTTCAGTTCTGAGACCCCCGTCTGGGATGTGGGGTGGGGCGGGAGAGCCCACAGGTCCCTGTCCGCCGCCTCCCCCCCTTCACTCCCCAAACTCGGCCCGCTGGTCTGGGGGAAACTGCCGCGCAGCCCCTCCCCCGCCCACCCGCCGGCAGGAGGAGAGAGCTCCTGACCCAGTTTTCTCGCCATTGCCGGGGAGGGAGGGAGGGAGGCGGGAAAGCTTCTCTGCCTGCCGCCCTGGCGTGGGGCCGGTTCAGCTCAGGGAAGGGAGATCCCCCTGCGGACGTTGCCTCCAACCCCTGGTCCCACCCGGCCCCCCGGGGGATCCCAAGCCCGAGCTCAGAAGGCCCTCCTTAGCTCGGCAAGTCCTCTTTCCAGCTGCCCTCTGGGCCCCACCCCCCAACGCTGGGTGGGGAGAGTGAGAGGAAGAAGAGGAAGAAAAGCCGCGCGTGAGAGCATCCTCACTCCCAACATTTCCCGAGGACACTTGTCTCCATCAATGAGGGGCAGGCGCAGAGCTATGCAAACCTCAGGCAGGAGGACAGCACCCACCCTCTCTTCGGGAAAGTTCCAGGAAGGCCGATTTTAACACTTTGCGACCTGCCCGGGGTAGCAGATCGGGTTGGTTGGAAGCCTGTGGTTGCTGGCTGGGAGAGGTGGGTAGACAGAAGAGAAAGGAAAATGAAAGCTGTGAGACTCGGAGCCCAAACCCCTTTCATCAGAGAGATCAAAGGCAGCAGGGACCAGAGAGGTGGAGGGACTCACCCAAGGACACACAGCAGTTAGAGACAGTACTGGCATTCAAGCCCTGATTTCGTCCCAGTTTGGTGCATCTTTATCACCTTAAAGTGAGTGATACGCACTACTCCTAGGTACCAAGACAGAGGCGGGAGGGCCAGGACTTAGGGAACAGGAACCAACTTTGGTAAGGCATTGGCTCTAGGCATTACCAGTTTACTGTTGCCCACCCTTATGTATCATTATCCCCATTTTACAGATGAGGAAATTGAGGTTCAGTGAAGTGCAGGTCACCTGCTACCAGGTAGCTGTGTTGAGATGTGAGCCCAGTGGTGTCTGATTCTGAAGGCAGGCTCTTTTCTCTACCCTGTTGTTGGTACTTAGCAGGGTCCCCTTTGAGGGTCTGGCTTAGAGTAAATGTGCCTCTCGGGCCAGCACTCCTTCTCTGAGGTTCTGCTCCTTGGGCTCAAGCTGCCGGGGCTGGTGGCTTTGTCTGTGGTGCTCTGGGTGCCAGCCCAGCAGTCACACCTGTGGAGATCCAGGCACTGTCCTGATCTTCCCTGAGGCTCAGTGTTTTCATCTGGAAAATGGGCAGAGGGATGAGCACCTTTCAGTGTTGCCCTGTGGGCCACGGATGAGGCATTGCAAGCTCCCCTAGGAGAGCCCAGCACGTAGTACATGCTCCCTACGAGGCAGCGCTTCCTCCTCCAAAGCCCTCCATGTCCCATCGGCACCGAGGACCTGCTCGGTGGGAGGTGCCTTTTGGGGACCCTGGTGATGGGAAAGCTGGGTCCAGTCCTCTGGATGGAGGTTTGACTTTCAGTGCAAACATCAGTGGGCGCTTTGGAATGCCACCGTGTCCTGTGAGTGGCCCAGGGCCAGGTCATCTTCACAGCCCCCTGTAAGGCCGGCATCACCGTCACCCCATTTTACAGGGGAGGAAGTGGAGGCTCAGGGATGGAGGAAACGCGGTCAGGGACAAACAGCTCCTAAGTGGCAGAGCTGTGATTCAGATGCAGACCTCCTGGACCACTAAGCCCAGACCTTCGGCATCTCGCTGCCACCACCAGTCGAGGCAGCCTAGCTCTTAGGGCAGTTTGAGTCTTCCAGGAGGTGACAAAGTTATATTTTGTGGTGGTGGAGGCAGGCTTCAGGAAAGAGCGAGAGCTTGAACTGAGCCTTGAAGGCCAGGGAAGTGAGAAAGGACCCAGAGACCGGAGCTGGAGTGTTCGGGCCAGTGTGGCCAGGCCGCCCTGGCCCTGGGGGACGGGCCAGGGGTCTGATGTGCTCTTGTCTCCTCTTCTGCAGTGAACTTGCTGGACACGTCCACCATCCACGGGGACTGGGGCTGGCTCACGTATCCGGCTCACGGGGTGAGTGATGGGCAGCGGGGCCAGTGCTGTCCCTCTGTCAACAGAGAGGCGTGACGCCCAGTGCTTATCATCGGGCAGATCAAAAGAAGCAGAGGCCACGAGAGGTGAAGGGACTTAGCCAAGGACGCACAGCAGTCAGAGGCAGCGCTGCAGACTTCTTAAATTTCGTGCATGGAGACTTCTGGAATTCCAGAACCAAGTCCGGGGCCGGCTCCCCCTTCTTCCAGTCTGAGGTCTGGATGTGGTATCCTTCCGTCTGTGTCCCATGCCCACCAGGCCTCCGTGGTGATGCTGGGCTCCGCCCAGTAGATCCTTGAACTCACAGGCGACTCCCTTCCGCCTTCCCAGGGAGTTGGCATGGTAACCCCGAGTGTCCAGAGCCAAGGATACACTGCCCAGTCCCCCCGATTCTCTTAAGTCTCAGGGGGGCAGGGCAGTAAAGCCAACGCAAGCCCATGAGCTTGGTGGGATTGGGCCCCACCATCCACAAGCTGAGTGTCCTTGGGTCACCACTTCACCTCCCTGAGTCTCAGTTCCCCTGTCTGCAGAATGGGATGAGCACGTGGCAACCTCGTGGGGTTTGCTGGGAGGGTGAAGGGGGACGGCACGTGGTCTTGGCACCATGCCTGGCACAGGGTAGGCCTCCATTAAGTGTATTATTACCGTTATCGTTGTCATTAGTGTGTATTATGGCTATATCTCAGATAAATTTCCTCCTACAGACATGCCCAGAACACGCACATCCCCACCACAGACGACATGCCCAGAACACGCACATCCCCACCATAGACGACATGCTCAGAACACGCACATCCCCACCATAGACACAAGCACGTCTGGCACCCGCAGCTTCCTGCACGAACACTTCTGCTTCCATGGCTCCGGAGACAGAGTGATGATAATATTAATGATGACGATGGCACTGAGCTGATATTTGAGTATTTCTTTACTCTGGGGTAAAACTGTAATCTGGGCTGTCTGGGGGCTGTGCCTGGGGTCAGGACAGTCCCGGCTCCTCTCTCTCTGGGGATCTGGTCCCCAGGTGGCGGTAAGCTGAGTCTGTTGTCCACAGCCCCCCTGCACCAGGCTCCAAGGAGTTGAAGGAGCAGGCCAGGTCCCCCGAGAGCCAGGACGGACCCCTTCTCTGTCTCAGCCCATCAACCCTGCCTGAAGACAAAGGCTGGGCCCTGGGGGTGTCCCGTTCCCCCCCCCAGGGCCTCAGCCTCTCCCCTTGAGGGGCTCTTCTGTGTGTCCCTCATGGCTGTCTCCCGGGGTGCTCGTGTGTGTGAAGGGCTTTGGTGCAGAGAACCGGCTCTGCCAACAGCAGGGGCTGACCCAAGAGGAGGTGACTGCCTGGCTGTGGGCTGGGTCAGCGTCTCCCCTGAGACTCAGCAGCTGGGCAGGATGGACCTGAACCCCTGGTTGGTGCTGGGTGTCTCTGCCCCTCTGTCCTACTCAGAGCTTAGGACTTGGTTTTTAGGGTAACAAGAAGTAGGAAGGATTTTAAGGAGGGGTGGGGGTTGGTGAGAAATATGACTGGACTTGTGTTTTGGACAATAGCACTGGTCATGTAAGGTTCTTTTGTTTGCTGGATGCTGTGAAGAGTGGCTCGGGGAATTCCCTGTTGGTCTACTGGTTAGGACTCCGCGTTTTCACTGCCAGAGGTGTAGGTTCAATACCTGGTTGGGGAACTAAAGATCTTGCAAGCTATATGGCATGGCTAAAAACAGACAAACAAAACCCCCTAAAAAAAGACTGGTTCAGAGTTACTCATTTCACTTGCCCCTAAAAAAAGACTGGTTCAGAGTTACTCATTTCACTTGAGAGTTAGAACAAATAACTTATATTCACATAAAGTGAAGTCGCCTCAGTCGTGTCCAACTCTTTGCGACCCCGTGGACTGTAGCCTACCAGGCTCCTCCATCCATGGGATTTTTCAGGCAAGAATACCGAAATAGGTTGCCATTTCCTTCTCCAGAGGATCTTCCTGATCCAGGGATCAAACCGAGGTCTCCCGCAATGTAGGCAGACACTTTACCATGTGAGCCACCAGGGAAGTCACATAGATCTTAACAATTTGTGGACATTATCTCATTTAATCACCACTACTAATCCTCCAAGTGGTGCAGCCATCCCATTTCACAGATGAGGAAGCTGAGGCTCAGAGCAGTGAGAGAAAATTCTCCACCATCAGGCAGGTTTCAAGTGATGGGTGTGAGCTCAGATCTCTCTGGCCCTGGAGCCGTCACTGGGTCCCTGTGTCACCTTGTGAAGGCCTGGGAAACGATCCTGCATTATTTACCGAGACAGGGACCACCTCCTATCAGCACAGGACCTGGAGATGGGGCTTGCCCAGAGGAGAGAGAAAGCCAGATGAGATCTCTGTTTCCAAGCTCTGGATCTTGACCCTGTGCCAGGCTGGCAGGTGAAACATGCAGGTGCCCACATCCAGGGGGTCTGGGGAGGGCCCTGGGAATCTTTGGTTGAAGAAGTTTGTAGCTGGGTGGACATTGGTGGTCCCTGCGGTTCCATCGATCCTTCTGATTCTGGAGTCTGTTAAGCACCCTGGATATAAGGGTCACCCATGCCTGTCTCCAGCATCACCAAGTTATCAGACGGTCAGGCAGGCCGCACAGCCTGAAGCCGGCGGTGCTGGGTCAGGACGAGCCGGAGCTCTGCGGCCTCTAATCAGTGTGATCAGGCCAGTCCTTTACCTCGCCTCCACCTCCTCGTTTATAACACAAGGATGATCATAGAGCCTGCTCCCTGCAGTTGTCATCTGAGAGATGATGCAGGAAAAGGACATTGTACCAGCAAGAAACCAGACGCTCTGAGAGGTTAAGCGTCTCTGCTAAGATCTGGGGAGTCTGGCCCCCAGAACTCACACTTCTAACCAGGCTGCACCCCTCTCTTTGGACCCCTCCGTCCACGCCCTGGGTAGTGCTCCACCTCACCTGGTGAATTAACAGCCTCACCTGGTGAATATTCCTTTTTATTGTCTCTTGATCCTCACCAGCCCCTGGAGTAGATGAAAGTTGGCAGGCGTTAGCTACCTCAATTTACGTATGAGAAGCCCAAAGCTCAGAGAGGGAGTGTGATCTGCCCAGGGATGCACAGCTGGTTCGCTGCTTTCGGTTCCTGGAGGGGGACAGAGTTCCATAGGGATAGTGGGGGCTGGGGGGCGGGGGTGGTATGTGCCAGGCAGCTGGGCTGGGCGTGGCACTGGGCATGGAGTGGGGGTGCCCCAGGTGAGGACAGGGCTGATTCTGCCCTTGCACCACCCGCCAGGAATTTGTGCCACACTGTCTGCGGCAGCCCCTGAGGCTAAGCCAGGCCATTGGCCCTGCTCGGGCGGCTGGAGCAGACTGGGATCAAGCTGATTAATTTATCCGGGTCCCTGGCAGGAAACAGACAGTGAGCAGCTGGCTGGCTCTTTGGTGCTCCATTAATTGTGACAATGACTTTAACCCCAGATGTGACACAGTGCTGCCCAGAGCCCCGACTGCAGAGTGAGGTGCGGCGTGGGGGTCCTTCTTGGGGTGGCGGGCATGCAGGAGGCATACAGTCTTTCAGGTGAGGCTGGCACGCCCTGGTCTGCTTCCCCAGGGGTCCCTGGAGGCAGGCACAGGGGGGCTGGGATGATGGCAGGCCAGCATCGTGTCAGTCCCCTTCTGGGCCAGGCCCCAGCTAAGCACCAGGCAGGCTTCTTCTCTGTGCGTCCTCTCAAGTCTCACTGAAGTGGGGCCTTTCTGAGCCCCTCTTACAGATAAGGCCGCTGGGGATTGAGACCATATAGCTGACCAAGATGAAGTCAGATCGAGCGGCTTTTGTTGGGCAGGGAAGACTCGGGTTGCCCCGGATCCCCACTCTAGTGCTTGTGGGACAGCTCGGGACGCTGCTGATTCTCAGAGCACAGTGAGGAGTGATCTTTGCTTCCTCCCCGCTCCTCCCAAACTGTCCTCCCTCCCCGGCCCCTGCTTAAGCAATAGGGTCCCCAGTTCAAAGACAATACCCACAGAGGCCCAAGAGAGATCACGGCATGGCCATTTGCCTAAGGTCACACAGACAGCTGAGACTGAACCCAGGTCTCTCGACTTTTGTTTCATTTCTAACGCTGTGTCTTCGGCGTGGCTCTTCTGTGTCCAGAGTGGGCTTGCTGAACATTGCGGGCCCTTGCCAGCCTCTGCTGGGGCTCTCCCTCCCACCCCTGCAGGAAGGTCCAGCCTCAGCCCTGCAGGAGGTTTTGCCACACCCCGAATGCCCCCGCCCTGAATGCCCACACCCTTCGTGTGTTGCCCTCCACACTTTATCTGTGAGAATAGGAGGGGGCTGGTGGGAAGAGAGTATTTCTTGTGCAATTCTTTTTATTAGTTCAGTTCAGTCACTCAGTCATGTCCGACTCTCTGTGACTCCATGAACTGCAGCACGCCAGGCCTCCCTGTCCATCACCAACTCCCGGAGTTTACCCAAACTCATGTCCATTGAGTTGCTGATGCCATCCAACCATCTCATCCTCTGTCGTCCCCTTCTCCTCCTGTGGCAAAATACACTTAACATAACATTTACCATCTTAGCCATTTGTAAGCCTCCAGTTCAGTGGCATTAAGTCCATTCCCATTGTTATGTGACCGTCACCACTGTCCATCTCCAGAGTGCTTTCATCTTCCCAGGCTGAAATTCTGTATCCATTAAGTTATAATAACTCCCATGACCCTCTTGCCTCAGCCCCTGGTAAGTACCAGTCTACTTTCTGTCTCTAGAACTCTGATGTAAGTGCCTCATATAAGTGGAAGCATATAGGATTTGTCCTTTTGTGTCTGGTTTATTTCACGCAGCATAAGGTCTTCAAGGTTCCTCCATGTTGTAGCATGTGTCAGAATTTCACAGTGTCCCACTGTATCAGTACGTACATTTTGTTTGTCCATTTATCCACTGAGGGACATTTGCGTTTCCACCTTTGGGCTGCAATAAGCATGTGTGTGCAAATCTCTGATCGTGTCCCTGCTTTTGTTTCTTTTGGGTGCACACCCAGAAGAGGAACTGTTGGTAATTCTATGTTTAATTGCTTGTTATTCACTGTTTTCCACAGTGGCCGCACCAGTTAACATTCCCACTAGCAATACACAGAGTTCCAATTTCTCCACATCCTCGCCAACCCTTGTTATTTTCAGTTGCTTTGATAATAGCTAATGGGTGTGAAGTGGTATCTCACTGTGGTTTTGATTTGAATTTCCCTAATGCTTAGTGACGCTAAGCATCTTTCCACATGCTCTTTGGCCATCTGTGTATCTTCTTTAGAGAAAAGTCTAGTCAAGTCCTTTGCCCGTTTTCTAATTAGGTCTGTCTGGTTCTTTGTTTTTCAATTGTAGAAGTTCTTTATATATTCTGGATACTAATCCACATCAGATATGTGGTTTGCAGCTGTTTTCTTCCATTCTGGGGGTTACCTTCTCACTCCATCGATTGTGTCAGTGATGGTCTCTGGTTTACTTCTGAATCAGTGATGCCTGGCCAGCACCTGACACAGAAGTGATCATACTCAACTTTCCCACATCCCGGTACGCCCTTGCAGGGGACCCAGGGCAGCCCGTGGTGGGGGCAGAGGGAACATCACACACAGCAAGACAGAGGAATCCATCCATCAGACACTCAACAAGCACCAGATCAGCGGGTGCTGCTGAAGGTTTTGAGGCCAGAGTGCGACATAGCTTCATGCAATTGAACAGATCTTTCTGGCCGCTGATGTGAAAACTGGACTCGTGGGCTCACTGACTTCCCCACGCAAGTCACCCCACTCTGGGAGTGACAGAGTAGCTGTGTAGAAATGAGGTCAGAGCCTTGTAGCTTTGGCATCAGTTCTAGTCCTGGCTCCATCACTCGATAGCTATGTGACCCCGGACACACCGCTCTAGGTTTGAACCCCTCGGTTCTGTGTCTGTGAAGAGGCAACAGATAACGCTTCCCCAGAATATCCCCGGTGGCTCAGACAGTAAAGAATCTGCCTGCAATGCAGGAGACAGAAGAGACACAGGTTTGATCCCTGGGTCAGGAAGATCCCCTAGAGAAGGGACTGGCAACCCACTCCAGTACTCTTGCCTGGAGAATCCCTTGAACAGAGGAGCCTGGCGGGCTACAGTCCATGGGGTCACAAAGAGTCGGACACGACCGAGTGACTAATAACACTTCCCCGTAACCACGTGTGTAGGGTGCTTGGCCTCTTGATGGCTGACAGTCCACTGGAAGGTCAGCCCCTGGAGGCTGGAGAATGTTCAGTCTTCTTTCCCAGACCTCCCCTAGCACTGTGCGCATGGCTTGTGGCAAGAGAGGGCCAGCCACTGCCTCTCGTTTCAGCCGGCTGTGGTCTCTCTGCCTGCAGTGGGACTCCATCAACGAGGTGGACGAGTCCTTCCGGCCCATCCACACGTACCAGGTGTGCAACGTCATGAGCCCCAACCAGAACAACTGGCTGCGGACCAGCTGGGTGCCCCGTGACGGCGCCCGGCGTGTCTACGCCGAGATCAAGTTCACCCTGCGCGACTGCAACAGCATGCCCGGCGTGCTGGGCACCTGCAAGGAGACCTTCAACCTCTACTACCTGGAGTCGGACCGCGACCTGGGCGCCAGCACGCAGGAGAGCCAGTTCCTCAAAATCGACACCATCGCGGCAGACGAGAGCTTCACCGGGGCCGACCTGGGCGTGCGGCGCCTCAAGCTCAACACGGAGGTGCGCGGCGTGGGGCCCCTCAGCAAGCGCGGCTTCTACCTGGCCTTCCAGGACATCGGCGCCTGCCTGGCCATCCTGTCCCTCCGCATCTACTACAAGAAGTGCCCCACCATGGTGCGCAACCTGGCCGCCTTCTCGGAGGCGGTGACGGGGGCTGACTCTTCCTCACTGGTGGAGGTGCGGGGCCAATGCGTGCGGCACTCCGAGGAGCGGGACACCCCCAAGATGTACTGCAGTGCCGAGGGCGAGTGGCTGGTGCCCATTGGCAAGTGCGTGTGCAGCGCGGGCTACGAGGAGCGGCGGGACGCCTGCGTGGGTGAGCACGCCCCTGCGCGGGTGGGCTGATGGCTGGGCTCAGTCTGGCAGGGCTGGCGGCGGGGGTGGGGGTGGCAGGCAGGGTTGGCACAGTCGGCGGGTGTCTGGGTGGTGCACACAGCACCTGGGAGGATGCATGAAGCCCTAGTGTTCCTGCGTCCCCAGGCCATCCGTGTGTGTGCTGTGTGCGTCTTGCCAGGAGGGAAAAACATCACAGCCAGGTAGATCCTCCGTGGGTGTTGTGGAGAGGTCCATCTCTGGGCACCTGTGTGATTGGGGTATACTAACTGGGTACATACCTGTGTTAGGGAACAGTGATGGACCTACCACAGCCGACTCTCTTCTAATCGCTTTTCACGTATGACGCATTTAATCACCACAGCTATCCAGTGAAATAGGAGCTTTTGTTATCCTGGTGTTAAAGATGAGGATGCTGAAGCCCAGAGAGGCAAAGTAACTTCCCTAAGGTCACACAGCTGGACAGTCAACAGAACTGTGATTTGAATTCAGAAGTCTGGCTCCAGAGTCCAGACTCAGAACCACTGAACTGCTGCCCTGTTGGGTGGGAGCGGGTGTCGATTGGGGTCTGGGCTCGAGGTGAATGCATGCGTGGCATACAGGGGCATCGTGAAGACAGGCGGGCAGGGACAGCCGGGGAGTTTCCGGGTTGCAGGCAGAACTCAGCTAGAGGTGTGGGGGAGGGGACAGCTGAGAGCAGCTGGGTCTTGAAATAGCACCTGTTGCCACAGGTATCTACTGCTGGGGTTCCCATGTCACAGAGCAGGAGCAGGGCCCAGAGTCCAGGCTCTGTGTGTGTGTGTGTGTGTGTGTGTGTGTGTGTGGTCAGCGGACACGCATCTTGGATTTGTGCAGCCAGGCATCCCGACAGCCCAGGAACACCAGGAGGGCTGGCGAGTGCACACAGCTGGTGCCCCAGCTGTTCCTGGTCTTGCCCTGGTTGCCCTCTGCCGTCCCTTGATCTCCCCAGGGGCTGGACATGTGGCAGCCCAGCCACTCAGCCCAGCCTGGTGAAGCCTGCTGTGGGGACCACTGGTTCTCCTGGGGAAGGAGATGTTCCTGGGAGGGGATCAGAGAGACCAGGGCCTGTCCCCCAGACAGCCTCGGGGAAGACTGGCATGGGGCCCTGAAAGACGCTCAGAATATCCTCCACAGGCCCCGGGACCACAGTTAGAGGGACCCTCAGGCCTCTCAGCACCGTGCCTCTGTCCTAGCCAGCAGGAAGGCCCCTTGGTGCTCACAGGAGCAGGACACAGGCTGACCATTTCAGGTGATGTTCAAGGTAGCTTCAGAGACCACCCCAGGTCACTTTAGGAGTTGTCTTGCCCCAGGGACTCCAGGACCATATTCTTCTGTCCAACCACCAGGCCCTTTCTGGCCCTTCTCTGGGGCTGTCTGATTTCCTCGTGCATGTGTGCTAAGTCGCTTCCATTGTGTCCAGCTCTTTGCGACCCTATAGACTTTAGCCCGCCAGGCTCCTCTGTCCATGGGGTTCTCCAGGCAAGAATACTGGAGTGGGTTGCCGTGACCTCCTCCAGGGGATCTTTCCGACCTAGGGATCGAACCAATGTCTTTCATATCTCCTGCAGTAGCAGGTGGGTTCTTTACCACTAGTTCCATCTGTGAAGCCCTTAAATCTTTTTTTTACCTTGCTGACAGCTGTACGTTCACTCTCCTGGACCCTAAACTCCAAAGCACCTTCTGTGACATTTACCTGTTTCCGGATTTGTTCTACCTTCTGTGGCCTAGTTTGCCAGGCTCCCCAGGCCTGCAGCCTCTCCTGGTTCCTTCACAGACACCCCTGTACTTCTCAACTTCCCGCTGGGTAGCAGTAGCAACAAACATTCCTATTGCCTTTACAGCTTCCAAGGAGATTCCTAGGACATCAATTCATTGGCTTATTGTATCAAGGCAGGTATTACAATTCCATTTTACAGATGGGGAAACTGAAGCCCAAGAGATCATGTCCTTCTTAGGTCTCACAGCTGATGAGAGGTGGAATGGGTCCTGAGTCAGGTCTGTCTTGCTCTGAGCTGTGTGTAGGCTTTTCACCTATCCCTGGCCCATCCTGACTGCATTCCCTGCTAGACCCAGTTCCCAACATCCCCTTATTCTGATGGGAATAATAAAATCTCTTAGAGACAAGTTTTCAAGTGTTTGCTATGTGCCAGGCGCTTAAACGAGCACTTCATACAGATCATATCATAACTCATCCATGCATCGGGGATAGAAGCACAGGGCATCCCTGTCTCCAGGGAGTTCACAGCTTCTCATCCTTACAGTAGTCCTCAAAGCTAGGTATTGTATTCCCATTTCACAGATGGGGAAAACTGAGTCCCCTCCACTTAAGTGGCAGAGTAGGGATCTGATCCCGTGTTTTCTCACTCCAGAGCCCTGAACAGCTTCCTCTGTCCACAAAGCCCTCTGCAAAGCCTTGCTTCCTGCCTCCCTGGGATAACATTAAAGCAGTTACTAACCAGGACTATATAAGCTGTAACCGTCGGGTGGGCCAGCCTGTGGATACTTCTCAAGGTCAGCTGTCCCCAGCACTGGAATGAGCCAGGGAGAACGCCAGGCTGCTTGTTTGTCCAGCGTGCGTCCTTGCCCTTCGAGGAAGACTGGTCCTCCTGACTTCGGGGTGGGGGCCTCACTCAGAGGTACTGCTCCAGCCTCCTTTTCTGGTGGAGATGGAAAGTGAAGCCCGGAGAGGGAATGCATCTTGCCCAAGGACGCACAGCATGTCAAGGGCAGGACTCTTGGTGGAAACACCAAGGCTTGAGCAGCCGGACGTCCTCAGAGCTGGGAGAAGTCAAGGCCACTCCCATTTCCTCACACTGTTGGCACATTAATAAAAAATAATAAAGTAATGCCAAAGCAGGGTTAGGGAATTGCAGCCTGTTTTGATTTTTACATTTAAATCACAATACAACATAATTATGCCAGTTGCAAGATAATTACAGGTTTTATACAAATATTAATTCATCGTGCACTGCAGGCAGTGGGGTTTGGGGACAGGATGCCGGTTTTAAATCACCCGGGGAAAGACGTTTCTCAGCCCTGTTGGTGGGCATGTACGGTGTCTGCTGACGTCCTTTGAAGAAGCAGCACAGGTGCAAAACTGAGGTGGTCGCCTAATGGGAGCCCCAGGCCAGCGGCCCTGCGATGTCCCCACTCCCTCCTTGGTGGGTAGCCCGCAGATTGAGGGGAGAGGGGCCGAAAAGGAGCTGGGCACAGACTGGGCATGCCTTTGCTGATCTACTTGAGATGACCTCAAAGCTGCAGCCCCGGACCCAGCCTGAGCGGGACCTCCGGAGGCCCATGGGGCCCTGGCCTTCTCCATCGGGCAGTTCTCTCTGAGCATGTTTGCTGGACGAGGGGGTCCTGGCCTCCTCTGCCCGAGTGCCCCTCCACCTTCTTTCTAGTGACAGGAGAAGGGACCCAGAGCTTGAAGGCTGCAGCAGCAGCTAGGCCCATGGCGACAGCCATCAGGCTCCTATCTCGGCGATCTCACCCTCGTGGCTCTCCTTAGAGTGGCCAGGCAGCCATCGATTTTACAGAGATGACAGTAAAGCCCAGGAGAGGGGCCAGCCCAATCACGTGGCTTTTTAGAAGCCTTCCTGAGACCGCGTTCAGGCCTCACGGACCCACGGAAGCATGTCAGAGCCGGGCAGAGCTAGTGCAGTTTACCCGTGGGGAAAGGGAGGCCCAGAGAGGCCAAGTGACCATCCCAAGAACACACAGCTAGCAGTAGTTGATTGAATCCCAAATCTCCCAAGCTCCTGACCAGAAAACTCCCCGTTACCCAATTCCTGACCCAGTGACCTTCCCCCCGCCACCACGTGGCTACACCCCCACACCCCAAATCCAGAGAGTGGAACGGCCTCTCAGAACATTGCCCAACGCAGCCGCCGCCCAGAATCCCAAGTCCCTAGCACCGTCCTTTCTGCCACCTGGACACAGAGTATAAGCCACCCTCTGCGGCCCTAATCATCTTTCTATAAATATCAGAAGCATCTCATTTCGAAGGGGCAGCATGAACAACGAGCTCCTTTGCCTTTCTGACTGTGTTTAAAATCTGATTTAGAATTAATTTCCTTTGGTCGGCCACCAGCAGACACCTTATTTGTCAAATCTCAAGCTCTTCGCGGGGGAGAGGAGAGAGGTGGCCGGGGCCCCCAGCAGCTGCCGGCCTGACAGGCGGCCTGGGCAAGGTGCCCTCGGCAGGGGCGGGAGCCCCTCCTGGCCCATGGCCGACACCAGGCACCGCAGACACCGGAAGCGCCCTGGGTCGGCGGGCCCCAGCCCAGAGCTGCTCCATCTGTCTCGGCCATTAATTCCCGGCTCTGCCTCCAGGTCTCCGGGCTCCCCGAGGCCTGGTGATTAGTATTCTTATTAAAGATTATTTTATTTTCATTGAGCGGATTAATCTAGCCTTGACACTTTATAGCCATATGGGTATTAGCCGAGCGTGAGAGAACCACCCACTGGTGGACTGGCGGGATGGTGGAGCTGCCTCTAAGCCGAGGCCAGGTGTTAAGATGCTGGTGGGGAAAGGCCCTGGCCCCGGAGGCTCCGCCCAACCCAGGTTTGCATCCTGGCTCAGCTGGGAATCTGGGGCGAGGCACACCCCGAGCTTCTGTTTCCTCTCTGCCAAACAGATGTGTTCACACCCACTAAGTAGAGTGGTAGTAACAAGTGCCGGGCACTGTGCTGGTGTGAATTCACGCATATTCAGTCCTGTCATTCTTCCAGCAGCCCTTGGAGGTGGGAACTATTCTTATCCCCATTTTCCAGATGGAGACACTGAGGCCCAGCAACTTGCCCAGCGTCACTTAGCCTTGGGGAGGGAGAGGATGGGATGAGAGAAGGAACCCAGCAGGCAGCCTGCTCCTGAGTTTCTGCTCTTGACGGAGGACCCGCTGAACTCTGAATGGTCCGGGTCTCCAAGCACAAAGGCTGTCCTGTGGTGCTTCCTCAGGGCGTGTGCCACACGGAGATGTCACTCCGCACGTGGACCAGTCTGCCCCTCACTGCTCAGAAAGCTCCCCGAAAGCAGCGGTAGCTCTTGTTTGTCTCCAATCCATCGCAGAAGCTCAGTAAATGTGGGTGAAGGAGCAGACGAGAGACAGAATAAGCAGGAGGTTCCCACGACATTAATCGATGTGGATCCGATGATTCCAGTGTGATAGAATGTCATTTAGCTCACCAACAGATTGGATAAATATTTGCTGGTGAAGTGTAAAGCCTGTTTCCTCTGCCTGCTTCCTGGGCTCAGAAGGACACTCTTGGGCTGTGCCCCAGGACTGGGCCTCCTGGGGGGCTCCCGGAAAGAGGAGGCAAGGTCACAAGATGTCAGCTAGGAGCGCCCCCCAAACTCCAAGCACCTGGCCCCCAGTCAGGGGCCTCCCCAAGGGCTAGGGAAGAGGTCTCAAAACAACCACATTCTCCCCAGCTCCCCAACCTTCAGGCTTCACAGTCTCTTGAGTCTGGGAAGCAACTTAAGGACATCATCATGTCTCCTGATTGCAGGTTTCCTCCCAAGTTTGTAGAATTTTACAAATTAACTGGAGTTTAGCTATTATAATCAAAAGATACAATCAAATCAAAGGAAGCTTCTCTCAAGCCCTGAGTTTTTCCAAACAGGACTCAGCAGAGAGAGAGCCCAGTGTTTCCTGGTGGTCCCTGTTTCAAAGTATTCAGTTCCACAGGTGGAGCTAGGAGCTGCCTGTCGAGGTGACATTTGGTCCTCTTGAACTCCTGGGGTCTGTCTCTGCCCAGAGCAGATAATGGAAGGATTAGTTCACTTTGAAAACGCCCACCAGTGTTGACAGCTCTACGCTGGGCCAGACCCTAGGAACTCTGAGATGAATAAGGCCCTACTCAGAGAGATCATCGGCCCTCAAGGACAGAGAGTCAGATACGCAGATGAAAAAAACACAGCCGTAGTGTTGCAGGTGGTGAGACTAAGCAGGGATGCAAAGGGGAGTGGCCGCGTCTGTGTGTGTGTGTGTGTGTGTGTAGGTGTCCACAAAGGCTGCATCAAAGGCACAGTTAAAAAGGAATTTTAAAAGAATTCGACAAGGAGATGAAGGAGAAAGGGTACAGTATGTGCAAAGGCCCTGAGGCACGGATTACGGAGACTCTCCGGTCCTCTAGTTAGACCTGAAAAAGGGAGCATGAGAGCTGGCACTGATGGCGGCTTCCAGGGGGCTCTGAATGCCAGGCTCTATTGTTGAGGCCACAGGGAGCCTGCGAGGGTTTGGACCAGCAGTGTCACTCGAGAGCCCCCCAGCACACTCATCTGCTCTCCCTGCACGGCTGACTCGTTCTCAGGGTGGGTCGCTTCGCCCACCATTTACCCTCCACCACATCCTCGGCCTTATCTTCTTCTGGAAATGATTACAGCTTCATTTACTGAGTTTTCCCCACCTTGAAATAGGCCAGCTTCTTGAGGGCAGAGACCACGCAGACCTTGTTCAAGGCTGTGTCTCTGGCACGCAGATCAGAGCCTGGTATAGACAAGCTACTCCTGGAAATGGGCAGAAGGAATGGGGTAGGCTGGGGCTGGGGCAGCAGGGCTGGGGGCTGTTTGGGGGCAGAGACTCGTGATGGGTGAAGAGAGGGTCAGATGCGAGACACATCATTCCCAGCCATGGAGACGGTGGCACGGGTTCTGGGAGCGTCAGGAGCCCACAGTTCCCTGACGGTTGGCGTCACTCTTGGCACTTGTAAGACACAGCTTTCCAGGCCACACCCCTTGTTCTCCTAACTCGGTGATGGTGATGGGGCCAGGGTCTGTGTTTTCACAGGGATGCTTCCATGTCTGTCCATGTCTGGGGACCTCTGGTCTCATCACCCATCCTTTCCAGCCATGTTTCCCGCCCACCCTCATCCCCTGGCTGGCTTTCTTGTCCCGCACCACCCCCCACGCAGGACCGATTCCTGGGGTTTTTTGGCCCCCCTTGGATTCTGCCCTGGTGGCTCAGACGGTAAAGCCTCTGCCTACAATGCAGCAGACCCAGGTTCAATCGCTGGGTCAGGAAGGTCTCCTGGAGAAGGAAATGGCAACCCACTCCAGTACTCTTGCCTGGAAAATCCCATGGACGGAGGAGCCTGGTAAGCTACAGTCCATGGGGTCGCAAAGAGTCAGACACGACAGCGACTTCACTTTCACTCTCACTTGGATTCTTATCCATGACCCCTGCCCCTAAGGCTGATGTCTCACTCGAGCTTACGTGCCCTGTGAAGGGCAAAGCCTGGGAGCCTGGGTGGGAGGGGTCGTTGGAGGTGAGGGGCGTTCAGAGAGGTTTCTTCCTGAGCCCACTGTGGGGCTGGTTCTCGGGTGTCAGGGTCCCAGCCTCCTCTCCGCCCCTGCCTTGCTGTGCATCCCTGTGTAAGTCGCCGGCCATCTCTGAGCTTCTGTGCCTGTGCCTGCGGATGAGAATAGGAAGTGGGTGCACCGCTGTCCCTTGGGGAGCCCTGGGCCCGAGAGCCCCGTCCCTGAGGCCACCTTCTCCTCCACAGCCTGTGAGCTGGGCTTCTACAAGTCGGCCCCCGGGGACCAACTCTGTGCCCGCTGCCCTCCCCACAGCCACTCCGGGGCCCCTGCCGCCCAGGCCTGCCGCTGTGACCTCAGCTACTACCGGGCGGCACTGGACCCGCCGTCCGCCGCCTGCACCCGTGAGTATTGTCCCGTGGCCCCAGGGAGCCAGGTCTCTGCAGGTGAGGCGGGGACAGGTGACTCTCTTGGGCCAGGGATCGGTCTGGGCCCCGGGGTGACTCTGAACCTTCCACCATGCCCTTGACCTCTCTGGGCCCCCAGCTTCTTGTCATCGGTCACCTGCTATCTCTCCAGGGAAATCTTGCCTTTCCTTCCTCAGTCTATCCTCTCTGCTCCGAAGGGCAGACCAAGAGCTGGGCTCCTCCCTTTCCAGCACCGGGTGACTGTGGTCATCTTCTGACCCAGTGGTCATGCCAGTGTCCCAGGGCCCAGGGTGGGCAAGCAGTGAAGGGGGGGGCTGCCCCTGAGGCATGGTGAGTATCAGAAGATGCCCCCCATCAATGATGACCTTGATCCACTGGTAGGAGCTCTGAGTTCTAGGAGCTGCGTTAGTGTGTGGGGGAGACACATAATTGTGTCTGTGGAGCGTGTGTGGCTCCTGTGTGTCGGATTCCGTGTGCACCCTGGGAAGCCTGCAGTGATCATGTCTGTGTCAGTAGCTGCTCTACAGAAGGTACCTGCATAGGGCGTGAGCTGATCAAGTGCTTGTGCCCCCGAGTGTACAGTGCACAGACATGTGTGCATCTGGATAGCTGCAGTGGCCTCCTGAGTCGCGGTGGAGCTCTGTGAGCTCAGCGCGTGCACACCTGGCCAGCCAGGGAGACGTGTGCCCAGAGAGCATGTGCACATGCCCGTACCTGGGGGCACTCCGTGGGCCCCGGGCCTGCAGGGCTGCGTGGCTGTCAGTGTTTCTGCCAATGCAGCTCCTCACTGGCCTCCTGTTCTCCTCTGCCCTCACCCGGGGGGGGGCCTGTCACCCCCAGCCCAGCTGGGAGGAGCTGCAGCCAGCTCAGCCCGCCCCCTTTGCCCGCTCTGGGCTCTTGGGATGGCGTGAGGGGGGCCTGACGCGGCGCTGAGGAGCTTTGCCCTAGAATTTACCCCCAGCGTGATCTCTGTGTCCCCTGCCCCCCACCTCCATCCCCACTCAGCTCCAGGCCCCCTGCAGAGGCCAGTGAGGGCCCGGGTGTACTCATATACCATGTATACATACATACACACATATACACAGAGGTGTGCTCATATACCATACAGGCACACACAGCCATATAACATACACCACACACCACACACACACACACACATACACAGAGGTGTGCTCATATACCATGCAGGCACACACAGTCATATAACATACACCCACACACCACACACACACACACACACACACACATGCACAGAGGTGTGCTCATATACCATGCAGGCACACACAGTCATATAACATACACCCACACATCACACACACACACACACACACACATACACAGAGGTGTGCTCATATACCATGCAGGCACACACAGTCATATAACATACACCCACACACCACACACACACACAGACACCAGGTGTACTCATATACCATGTATACAAATATACACACACACACTCATATACCATACACCCACATATCACACCCACACACACTCATATACCATACACCCCCCCACCCACACACACTCATATACCATACACCCACACCCAGACACACACACACACTCATATACCATACACACACACACACACACACACACACACACACCCCAAGTGTACTCATATACCGTGTACACACACACACACACCCTCCCTCCACTGATCCTCCCAGGCCTGTGCCTTTGCCCCCTGGGGCACGTGCAGGTGCAGAGAGGAAGGTGAGGGACACGGTGACCGCTCTGGGCTCCTCAGGCTGGGTGAGCCCAGCTCTCGCTCATGAACACTTGCGTTCAGCTGGCTGGACTCCGATTTCTCCCCAGCCCCATGATGCAGTGCCCTCCACTTCTAGGAATGTTAAGTTTGCGAAAGGCTTGACTTCTGCATTCCATACCCTGCAGATTCGAAGGTTTCTCTGTGATTCTGAGATTCTGTTTTTTTTTAATCTAAGATTCCCTCTTTGGGATTCTGAGAGTTGAGATTCTGAGCCTCGGGGGTCTCCATTACCCACTGCCCCCGACCTCTGTTCAAACCCCCACCCCCGGGACCCTACCCCAGCCCCCAGCCCTCAGCCCCACCCCTTCCCTCAATGTCCTTGTGCTGCCCAAGCTGGGGGGCCCATCCTGGGATGGTGGGGAGGGAGGGGTCTCTTGGGACGCAGGCTCCACTTGCCTCCACCATGGCATTCCGTGTCCTTTACATGAAGTCCAGCCGGGGCTTAAGGAGCGGAGTGGAGTGTGGGAGGCAAGTGCCTGGAGCGTCTCACCCAGGGGCATTGCTGTGTGCAGCCTCTCCCCAGCTCTGGATGAAAAGTCTGTGAAGCAGACCCCGGGATCCCTGTGGTCCTGTGTGGGGAGGGTGGCTTCCGTGCCCAGACCCTGTCACTGCGCTCCTTAGTCTGAGGGCAGAGGCACCACCTGTGCCCTCGGGGAGCTTCCAGAGGATGCAATCAGTGTGCCCTCTTCCCGAGGGAGCCCCAGGGATCGCGGGGAACCACAGCCCTTCCCTGATCTGGTGGGGGAGACTAGACCAGCCCAGAGGAACACCTACCAGGCCCGCCTATCTTTCTGTACGCCCCAGGGCCCCCTTCGGCGCCGGTGAATCTGATCTCCAGCGTGAATGGGACATCTGTGACCCTGGAGTGGGCCCCTCCCCTGGACCGGGGCGGCCGCAGCGACATCACCTATAACGCCGTGTGCCGCCGCTGCCCCTGGGCCCTGGGCCACTGCGAGACGTGCGGGAGCGGCACCCGTTTCGTGCCCCAGCAGACCAGCCTGGTGCAGGCCAGCCTCCTGGTGGCCAACCTGCTGGCTCACATGAACTACTCCTTCTGGATCGAGGCGGTCAACGGCGTGTCCGACCTGAGCCCTGAGCCCCGCCGGGCCGCCGTGGTCAACATCACCACGAACCAGGCAGGTAGGCGGAGGTGCCGGTCCCCAGCTCCCCAGCCCCTCGCCCTCCGCAGCCTCAGAGCTGCAGTTAGCATTTGGGCAAGTGCCCACCTGTCTAACCCTGTCTTCCTGACCAGGATGCCGAGTTATAGGCTTTTCATGCCCTTAGAAAAATAGAACACATGCTCTTTGCGACCCTGTGGGCTGTAGCCTGCCAGGCTTCTCTGTCCATGAACTTTTCCAGGCAAGAATACTGGAGTGGGTTGCCATGCCCTCCTCCAGGAGATCTTCCCAACCCGGGGATTGAACCCACGTCTCTTACATCTTCTGCACTGGCAGGTGGGTTCTTTGCCACTGGCGCCTCCTGGGAATCCCTCCTGTAGGTGGGAGCGATCCAGAAAGCCCCGAGGTAGACCAGCATGACCATCTGAGGCCTGGGTTCCAGAACTCTTCCCCCCTCCCTGTTTCCTCCCTGGTGCAGTAGGAATAATAGCACCTGTGCGATTACTGTCATGAGGCTTAGGTGAAGGAAAGGAAAATGCTGAGCCCAGCACCTGGCCCATGGTACGTGCTCAATAAATGTCATTAAAAAATAAAGTCACTCTGATCATCATTTATCAGAACAGGGGCTGCTGCCGCCTCTGTTTGGCTGCACCAGTTTGGACAAGAGCCATTTAGCTCTCTGTTTCAAGCCAGTCGTTGGGCTGAACGTAGCTCCTTTTTTGCACATTCTGGTGGGTCCTGCCTGTCAAGCAGCGGCCTGACCCGAGAGCCCTCTGTGGCGACTTTCCTGTTAATAGGCCCCTGCCACGCGCCCTGTGGCTCCTCACCCAACTGCCCCTGGGTCCTCCAGCACCATGCAGGCCTGGCCCAGCGACTCCGTTCCCACCGTGTTACCGAGGACGCTGAGGTCTAGAACCACCCAGAGTCTTCGCGTAAAAGTGGGTCAAGTCAGGATTCGAACCCAGGTCTGTCTCACTCCCAAGTGAAACAGGCTTCCCAGCCCGGAGCCCAGGGCACTCCCGCTCCCAGAGGCCAAGGCTTCATCCTCCCAAGAGACCCTCATTCCTCATTCCATCTGAGCACCCATCACATGCCAAGCTCGATGCTGGTGACTCAGCAAGGAGTAGGCCCTGCCTCTGCCCGCGTGTCTCTGGGGCGGCCGAGGCAGGCGACTAGCTAGTCGGGGGTGAAGGGCTCAGCAGGGAACCTGGAGTTACTCACGCGACTCAGGGTCTCCACTGTTAAAAAGAACAGCCTCCCAAGAACCCACACGTCCTTCCAGCCACCAGACTACTTCTTTTCATGTGGAAGCTTCCTGAAAGAACTGTTTTGCTCATACACCTGTGTCCTCTCCTCCATGGACACCTTCGGGCACTTCCAGTCGGATGTCTTTGCCTGCCTGTCCCTAGAAATTCAGCTTGCTGTGGGCACCCCTTCCCCTGCTCTCTTGCTTTCCATGCCCAGACCCACCCCACATTTTCCATCCACCTGTCTGGGCTGTCCTCCATCTCCACCAGCCCCTCTTCTCTCAGTTCAGTCGCTCAGTGGTGTCTGACTCTTTGCAACCCCATGGACTACAGCACACCAGGCCTCCCTGTCCATCACCAACTCCCGGAGTTTACTCAAATTGTCCATCGAGTCGGTGGTGCCATCCAACCAGCTCATCCTCTGTGGTCCCCTTCTCCTCACACCTTCGATCTTTACCAGCATCAGAGTCTTTTCCAAGGAGTCAGTTGTCTACATCAGGTGGCCAAAGTATTGGAGTTTCAACTTCAGCATCAGTCCTTCCAATGAATATTCAAGACTGATTTCCTTTAGAATTGACTGGCTGGATCTCCTTTCAGTCCAAGGGACTCTCAAGGGTCTTCTCCAACACCACAGTTCAAAAGCGTCAGTTCTTCAGTGCTCAGCCTTCTTTATGGTTCAATTCTCACATCCATACATGACCACTGGAAAAACCATAGCTTTGACTAGACAGACCTTTGTTGGCAAAGTAATGTCTCTTCTTTTTAATATGCTGTCTAGGTTGGTCAGAGCTTTTCTTCCGAGGAGCAAGCATCTTTTAATTTCATGGCCAATAACTCTGCTCTAACAACTTCCAAAAGCTAGAGGACCCCCAACTGGTCCAGGACCCTCCTCTCTTTCCTACTCACCCAGCTCCAACTCTCCTGAGTGAGGACTCCTTATCAGGTGTCCTCCAGCCTTTGGAGGGTGAGCAGTGGGGAAACAGGAAGGCTGCGGCCGGAGTGGGCAGGAGGGATGAGGTTACAGCTCCGAGAACGGTCCCCTCCATTTGGCTGTGGCCGGGTTGACATCTGACATTCCCGTCAGTGAGTCAGAGGCATTTGCCCAGAATGCAGGAGGTGGGGAGGAAATGGGAGGATGAGGGAATGAGCCCGGGGGTGAAATGGTGATCTAGTGTGGCAGCCAGGGTACTTGAGTTCACGTGGGCAGTGGGTCAGCTCATGTCCCTTCTCTAAGTAGCCAGCGCCACCCCGGTCATGCCCTCCAAACCCAGGCAGTGAGGGCGCCAGTTCCTTTGACTCTTTCCCTCCCTTCTCCTTTGCTTGGTCCTTCTCCGAGAGCTCCTGAGATCCTGCTGCACGCCCCCTGAGGCTCTGGGCGGGCGCAGGCAACATGGAAACGCAGACATCAAGGTGGATTAGAAGGGCTGCTCGGTAGGGCTGGCAGGAGTCCAGCAAACTTCCAGTGGGTGGGCTTGACCAGCGAGGAGGAGGCAGTGGAATTGGGGTGGTCAAGGCTCATGTGGGTCCAGCCAAGCCCAGCACCCTAGATGGGAACCAGGCTACGCTGACCCCACGTGACTGACCAGGGTGGCCGTCAGTGATTTGCAAGGAGGAGCGGAGGGGACTGGTTTTCCTGGGGCAGCGGCAGGACACTTAGCAGGGTGAGTGTGGTCCCAACTAGCATCCCTGGGCCGTGCCTGGGCAAAGGACAGACAGAGACCAGTCCCCAATGTCACCCATCTATCCATCTGACCTAACTGAGTCCCTCCCCCATCCTCCGCCCCCTAGCCCCGTCCCAGGTGGTGGTGATTCGCCAGGAGCGAGCAGGGCAGACCAGCGTCTCGCTGCTGTGGCAGGAGCCGGAACAGCCCAACGGCATCATCCTGGAATACGAGATCAAGTACTACGAGAAGGTACCACCCACGGGGCCGGGAGCGGGGGAGGGCAGCAGGCGGGGGACCCGAGGCTGACCACCCCGCTCCCGCGGGCAGGACAAGGAGATGCAGAGCTACTCCACCCTCAAGGCGGTCACCACCAGGGCCACCGTCTCGGGCCTCAAGCCGGGCACCCGCTACGTGTTCCAGGTCCGAGCCCGCACCTCGGCCGGCTGCGGCCGCTTCAGCCAGGCCATGGAGGTGGAGACCGGGAAACCCCGTGAGTGTAGGGAGGGGAGGGCAAGGGCACGGGGCCAGGGTCGCGGGGGTCAGAGGAAAGGTGTTAGTGTGTGCTGAGCCGGTGCGGGAACTGACTGGCCTGTTTATAGGTGAAAAAAAAACTGAGGCTCAGAGAAGGAAGGTTACAGACCCCGGGTGATAGAGCTCGTAACAGCCCATCAGCCAGGGCCATCATGGTGCCCTTTGTTGACAGAATAACCTTCTAATCGGCCCGAGACCCTTCAGGGAGTTGGCGGTGTCCACCTCCCCATTTTTCAGGTGAGGAATGTGAGGGTCAGAGCAGTAAAGCAGATTGCCCACGGTTACCCAGCAGAGCAAGACTTCAACCTGAGCGGTCTGAGACAGACTCTCTGCTCCTTCCCCAGTATCGTGTACCCACCCCCCTCCCCGACCCCCGCCCAGAACAGCGCTTCCCACAGCATCGTCCAGGACCGCCAATCACAGCAGCCCCTGGGAAGTGTCAGAAATGCTCATTCTCAGGCTCCACCCCACATCTTTGGAATCAGAAACCCTGGGACTGGAGGCCCAGAAATTTCGGTTGGATCAAAACCCTTGGGGGTGATTCCAGAGCACATTCAAGCCGGGGAATCCTCTGCCCACCGCCCCCCTCCCCCATCTCCAGCCAATTGGGTTCTTCTCCTATACTCAGCACCTTCCAGGGGTCAGTGCTAGGACAACAGATTTTCAAGGCTGAGTTGACACCCTGCCTCTTGCCTGGCACGTCCTTGGAACTTGTGTGTCTCAAGTGCTCTTAGGTTTGACACCACGTTGGCACCGTCCAAGTAGGAATCCTGCCTGACTCTGTGCTGTGTGTCCTTGAGTAAGTTCCCTGAGTTCTCTGGGCCTCAGTTTTCTGGTCTGACAGCTCACAGTATTGCTGGGATCTCCCTGGAGGAGTTGTGGGTTAACTGACTGGAGTGTGCGGTACATCCAGCTTCGTCATTTACAGTAACAGGCAGGGCAGGTGGTTTTGGACTCGTAGGTGAGAAAGCTGAGGCTCAGAAGTCTAGTGATTCTCCCCGGGTCGCACTGTCCCAGGAAGTGGGGGCACCAGGTTGGGAAGCTGGATGTTGAAGCGGCAAGCTGTAGAGGGGAGGGTCGGGGCAGAGGCAGGTGCAGCCTATGTCCCGACTCTGGGCTGGCTCAGAGCTGAGGAGGCTGCCACCGGGCCCCAGGAAGGCTGCCAGACCTCTGAGGCCAGGGCTAAGAGGTTAGGCAACGCCCCCACCCTGGTTTCCCCCGCACAGGGCCCCGCTACGACACCCGGACCATCGTCTGGATCTGCCTGACCCTCATCACTGGCCTGGTTGTGCTTCTCCTCCTGCTCATCTGCAAGAAGAGGTGGGTGGTCCTGGGCCCCCGGCCACCCTGAGCCCCTCCCCCTGGAGCGCTGTGTCTCCTGCCTATCCCCAGCCCTCGCCGAGCCAGTGACCCTTTGTGCTTGGGGCGGGGCTGCCTTATGGACAGACCTGTTCTTTCCCTCCTTCCTGGCACATTTCTCCCTCTCGCCTTCCACACTCAGGCCCACCTCCTGTTTTCCATCCACCTGTCCAGTCTTGTCTTTCTGCATCTCCAGCTCTCTAACCAACTTCTGAAAGCTGGAGGACCCCGGCCCATCCAGACCCTCCTCTCTCACCCGCTTACCCTGCACCTTTCCTCGGCAACCTTGTCAGGGTCCGCGGCTTTGAATTCCACCTTCACACTGACATCCCCCCAAGTGTGGCATCCGCACAGGCCTCTCCCCTGAGGTCCAGTTGCCCGCTCCCATCTCCACTCGAATGTGTTTCAGACACACAGCACCCCCAAACCAGCCCTTCCCCAAACCCTGTCTCAGAATGTGGCACCACTGTTCGTGGGGTGACAAGAACCAAACCTGGCCATTATTCTTGGTTCTCCTTCCCTCACACCGTGTCTGCCCACCAGCCAGTCCCACTAGGTCTCCCTGCAGCGTGACCCCCTCCATCTCATTCAATCCTAACAATGCCCCAGGGATGTATAGATTCCGACCTCATTCTGCAGGTGAGTAAACTGGGGATCAAGAGAGGTGAGGCCACTTCAGCTAAATAGGTGTCAGAAGTGGGACAGAAAACAGATCTTTTAAAAAACTGAAGGCCAGGTTCTCAGTCACTCTTCCACTCGGTTCCAGAGGGAAGTGGGGTGGGCTTCAGATCCCGCTCAGCGAGGATTGGAAAGATCATCCATAGGTGGAGAAACTGAGGCCCAGGGGAGGGAAGGGGCTTGCTGAAGTCACATGGCGGAGTTGGCGTCAGAAGCCTCACCTCCCAGACTCTCTGCCGGGAGTGATTTTGAGCCAGGAATACCATAGATTTTGCTGTGAAAGCTGAGTGGACTCAACTGTGTAAACTATACAGTGTTTTTTATGAAGTTATTTTTTAAATATTTATTTATTTGGCTGCATCGGGTTTAGTTGAGGCATGCAGAATCTTGTGTTGCGGTGCACAGACTCTCTAGTTGCGGCACACGGACTTAGGTGCTCTGCCGCACGTGGGACTTTAGTTCCTTGACTAGGGATTGAACCCACATCCCCTACGTTCCAAGGCCGATTCATAACCCCTGGACCACCAGGGAAGTCCCATGCCGTGTTTGTGAATGTCAAGGACGTCCCAAGGGCATAAGCTGGGGTGGCCAGAGCTGACTTGAAAGGGGGTGGGAGATACAAGGGGGGAGTTTGCATGTGTCCGTGACGGGGGTCAGGGCTGAAGCTGGGAACCATCCCCCTCCACAGGCACTGCGGCTACAGCAAGGCCTTCCAGCACTCGGACGAGGAGAAGATGCATTATCAGAACGGGCAGGGTGAGTGCAGGAGCCCCGGGGGGCCGGATGGGAGAGGGGCGGTCACAGCAGGAGCCAGTGCTGGGCTGGGGCTGGGAAAAAGGAGAGAAGGGAAAAAGTGCCCACACAAGAGACTAGAGCCCCGGAGAGAGAGATGGCAGGGGGTCACACAGCCCCGAGCCCCCAGGGGCACAGTGCGGTTCAACTTTGTTGGGTTTGCAGAGGATTCTAGAGATCTTCTCTGGAGAAGGCAATGGCAACCCACTCCAGTACTCTTGCCTGGAAAATCCCATGGATGGAGGAGCCTGGTAGGCTGCAGTCCATGGGGTCGCTAAGAGTTGGACATGACTGAGCGACTTCCCTTTCACTTTTCACTTTCACACATTGGAGAAGGAAATGGCAACCCACTCCAGTGTTCTTGCCTGGAGAATCCCAGGGACGGGGAAGCCTGGTGGGCTGCCCTCTATGGGATTACAGAGTTGGACACAACTGAAGCAACTTAGCAGCAGCAGCAGCAGCTAGAGATCTTCCCAGGGAACTGCACAGATTTCTGCACTCACACAAATGTTCACACACAGGTTTTTTGGGGGAGGAGGGGTCATATACTCTTGGGCAAGAACCCTTGCTACAGAGAAATTTTTCAGGACCCTGCAGAGACCTCAGAAAACAAGGCAAATATGAGGATACCTACCTCAACACTCCACTTCTTTGCCCATGGTAGAATCAGTCATGGTACTGATTCCCATGGAGCCTGAATGTGGTCTCAGAATCCTTCTTAACCCAGTCTTTTAGAGACCCACTTTCCATCAACATGAGTCAGTACTGTGGTGAAACCACTCTTGGTCACACTCCTACCCTAGGAATGAGAAAGATCTTCATAAGGACCTTGGGTTAGTTTGACCAATTGAGAAGGATCTTGTGGATCCTGAAAGTGAGCCCAGAAATATGTCGGACATACTCAGAACTCACTAGAAATGCCCAGATCCTCTAGAGACCTCAGAGCCATTCTGCAGAGACCCCGCTTTCACTTGGCAAGCACTTACTGGACGCCTGCTGTTTGCTCCCCACATTCTGAGGTTCCTGAAGATGCTTCTCATCCCACCCTCAGACCCTTCCCAGACTCAGGGAAGGGCTGGGAGGGAATGTCCTCAGGGACCGCAGTGATGGGCCTCCTCTCCTGGCCCCTCAGCACCTCCACCCGTCTTCCTGCCTCTGAACCACCCTCCAGGGAAGATCCCAGAGCCCAAGTTCCATACAGAACCACACACCTACGAGGAGCCAGGCCGGATGGGCCGCGGTTTCACCCGAGAGATCGAAGCGTCTCGGATCCACATCGAGAAAATCATCGGCTCTGGTGAGCTGCAGGGCTTGTGCATGTGGGGACGTCATGGAGGTGCCCGGGAGAAGGGCACGCTGGGCAGAGAGAGCGGGGAGCCAAGGTGCCAGGCGTGGCCAGGCACATGGGTATGCAAGACGGGGCGAGTGCAGAGTTCAGGCGGAGGAGGGGACGGTCCCCCCGCCCACCCTCTGCCTGCCCCACTTGGGTCCGTCCACAGGCGAGTCCGGGGAAGTCTGCTACGGGAGGCTGCGGATGCCGGGGCAGCGGGACGTGCCCGTGGCCATCAAGGCCCTCAAAGCCGGCTACACGGAGAGACAGCGGCGGGACTTTCTGAGTGAGGCGTCCATCATGGGTCAGTTTGACCACCCCAATATCATCCGCCTTGAAGGTGTCGTCACCCGTGGTAGGTGCCAGGCGGACAACAGCCTCAGCCTTCAGAGCCCCTCCTGCTGGGGTCCATCCGTCCACCACCCTGCCCTGCCCCATCCTGCTGGTTCAGGTCCCTGGATGGCTTGGCAGGGAAGGGGCCCCAGAGCCCAGGACCCGAGTGAAAACCCTACATTCCCTGGGCCTCGTGGTGCTGGCCCAGCTCCTGGGAGCTCACAGTGGGGCGGGGGACGGCTTGTTCATGGGGTCACAGCCCTGCAGCCCTGATCCCACCAAGAGCCACTTCCTCCCTGTTGCCCCCCACCTCCTCCCCTCCAGGCCGTCTGGCAATGATTGTGACCGAGTACATGGAGAACGGGTCTCTGGATGCCTTCCTGAGGGTGCGTGCCCCGCTCTGCTCTCCACGTGGGCTGGGAGAGGGAAGTTCAGTCTGGGTGATGGGAGATCATGAGAGGCCTCCAAATACACCCTCATCCCCAGAGCTTGGGCCTAACAGACCTGGGGAAGGAGGAGCCAGGCATGAAGAGAGTCAGCCCATGCAAGTGCCTTTCAGCCCCCCATCATGTGAAAGCCCCTCTGCTGTGGGTCCTGCTGCCCTGTTCTGCATGCAGGCTGAGCGGTGCCTCTGTGGGGACCCAGGGCCCCACCCAGTGGGGAAGCACAGGGCGGGGGCCAGAAACCCCGAGATTCCCAGCCTTCGCCGGGCCATGTGTCTGTTGGGTGTTCAGGGACAGGGCCACACCTCTCTGGGTCTCCCTCTCCCCTTGGGCAAAGTGGATGACCAGTCCTCACGCCCCACCTGCCTACCTCTCAGGGCTGCTGGGAGAGTAGACGAGACATGAGAACAAACCTTCGACACGAGCATGCTTCTTAAGCAGGGAGGCCCTTTGTGAACTTCAAGGAGCCTTCCTGAAGCCCGCGCCCCGTTCCTCTGCAGACGCACGACGGCCAGTTCACCATCGTGCAGCTGGTGGGCATGCTCAGAGGCGTGGGCGCCGGCATGCGCTACCTCTCGGACCTGGGCTATGTCCACCGCGACCTGGCCGCTCGCAACGTCCTGGTCGACGGCAACCTGGTCTGCAAGGTGTCCGACTTCGGGCTCTCCCGGGTGCTGGAGGACGACCCTGATGCTGCCTACACCACCACGGTGCGTAGCCCGCGCCCCACGTGTCGTTAGGGAGGTTGGAAATTTCGGGGTTGCCTCCAGCCTGGGGCGAGTCCTGTCTCTTCTCTGCACCTCTGTTTGCCCCTCTGTCAAATGGGTGCAAGCTTTCCCGCCTTTGTGCCGTTGCGGAGACACCAGGGCTGGTCCCACGGTCCCTCACTCACTGGGAGATTTGGGGAGAGTTGGCTTCTCTCTGAATCACACATCCACTCTGCAGCTGTCTCTAAAGTTTGGCTAAAACCCCCAGCATTTTCACAGTGTGTTCTGTAGGGATTTGGGCATCTTGAAAGGGGCCTTAGGGGCTGCCTTAGGGGTAGAGGTCCCCCACCTCTGCCTCAATCAGAGCCTGCCCTTAGGGTCTCACCCACTGAGGTTTCACTTAGATAAAGGATTTTGTGACCAAAAAAGGGGGCGGTAAGGGGAGCTGGAAACCTACAAGACCACGTCATCTGGGCTTCATCACTTGTTCAGGCATCATTTCAGTTCAATTCAGTTCAGTTCAGTCGCTCAGTCGTGTCTGACTCTCTGCGACCCCATGGACTGCAGCACGCCAGGCCTCCCTGTCCATCACCAGCTCCCGGAGTTTACTCAAACTCGGGTCCATCGAGTTGGTGATGCCATCCAACTATCTCCTCCTCTGTCGTCCCCTTCTCCTCCCGCCTTCAGTCTTTCCCAGCATCAGGGTCTTTTCCTATGAGTCGGTTCTCGGCCTCAACCTGTTGACCGGCTCTTACTGAAGGTCGCCCGGGTGCCGAGCCCGCCACCCACTGTCTCTCTCGTTCAGTCTCCACTCCTGCTCCGTGTGCAGGTCCCCCCCGCATCAGAACAGGTGATCGTGGAAGGTCGTGTCTCTCCAACCAGCCTGCGAGTTTCCCAGCCCGGACCCCTGCGCTCAGCTTCTGGTCAGGCTGGGGAGGTGTGCTCAACACGCGTGTGTCCGTCACAGGGAGGCAAGATCCCCATTCGCTGGACGGCCCCCGAGGCCATCGCCTTCCGGACTTTCTCCTCGGCCAGCGACGTGTGGAGTTTCGGGGTGGTCATGTGGGAGGTGCTGGCCTACGGGGAGCGGCCCTACTGGAACATGACCAACCGGGACGTGAGTGCTGGAGCCTGGCGGGGCGGCGGCATTCCGGGGCCCGGGGGCGACGGGGCCGCTCCAGCCCAGCGCCGTGTTCCCCCGCAGGTCATCAGCTCCGTGGAGGAGGGCTACCGCCTGCCCGCGCCCATGGGCTGCCCCCACGCGCTGCACCAGCTCATGCTTGACTGCTGGCATAAAGACCGCGCCCAGCGGCCCCGCTTCTCGCAGATCGTCAGCGTCTTGGACTCGCTCATCCACAGCCCTGAGAGTCTCAGGGCCACGGCCACCGTGCAGAGGTGCCTGGCGCCCACCCCAGGCCCTCCCAAGCCCGGCCGCCTTCCCCGCTTGCCCTGGACAAGGCCCTGGCTTCGTCCGGGCCTTGGGACGGCTCCGCCCGGACCCCTGCTTCACCCAGCCTGGGCCCCTGACCCCTGTTCACACCTCGCCTTCCAAGCCCGGGGAAATCCCTTAGCTGCTGCTGAACCTGAGGGTGGCCGGTGCCAGTGCCTCCTGGCAGGCCCCTTACCCAGGGCCCCTGTGTCTCAGGTGTCCGCCCCCCGCCTTTGCCCGGAGCTGCTTTGACCTCCGAGGGGGCGGGGGTGGCAGCGGGGGCCTCACCGTGGGAGACTGGCTGGACTCCATCCGCATGGGCCGCTACCGGGACCACTTCGCTGCCGGGGGTTACTCCTCCCTGGGCATGGTGCTCCGTATGAATGCTCAGTGAGTGTGGTGGGCCCCGGGGGACGGGAGGCGGGCAGAGGGCAGGGGGCGGGGCCAGAGGCGGAGCCGCTGAGGTCAGCAGCTCCCGGGATGGGTCCCAGCCTCCCAGGTCAGCACCGCCTTTCTTTCCAGGGACGTGCGTGCCCTGGGCATCACCCTCATGGGCCACCAGAAGAAGATCCTGGGCAGCATCCAGACCATGAGGGCCCAGCTGACCAGCACCCAGGGGCCCCGCCGGCACCTCTGACCTAAACCCAGCCAGCCCCGGGGCCCCGCCTGCCGTCGGCGGCGGACTCGCCAGGTGGGCGGACCCAGGCCTCTGCCCTTCCGCCTCAGCTGCCTTCCGCTCTAGAAGCCAGGGAGACCGAGGATTCCGCCGCAAGACCCGGACTTATCTGGGGGTCAGGCCACCTGGGAAGGGACTTTGGCGCCTAGCAGAGGGCAGAGGGCCTTCTCTTTCCCAGGAGCTGTAGCGTCAAGGCCCCTGAGATGTCGCTCACCTGCCCCTGTGTGCGTGCAGGGCTGTGTGTGCGCACTCACCTTCTCACGAGGCCGTGGGAGCCCTGGTGAACATGTGTGATCCTGTGTGTGTGTGTCCATTTTTCAGGTCCCCCATGGATGTGTGTGAGTTCCGGTCACCGTGCTTATTCGTTCAGGCTGGGCGCGCGTGTGTGTGACTGTGGAGGGCATGTCACGAGCGTGAGGATGTGTGAGAGAGGAGCGCTGTGTGACACATTGCCCCTCGAATGTGGGCCCGGGTCCCAGCACCCACGGGGGCTGGGCGAGGCTCAGCCCCTCCCGCACACCTGGAGTCCGGAGCCAGGGGCTACTTCTGAACCTCACCAGCACCAGGCCCACCCTAGTTCTCCGCCCGGGTGGGCCCACCCCAGGCTCTATCTCAGGTCTGAGCCCTCCCTCTGGCTGGTAGGGGCGGGGGTCACCTGCTTCCCCCACCTGGCTCCCATCACTGCTTCAACAGGAAAACAGGGTTCCCGGCCAGCCTCTCTGGCCACCTTCTGCGCAGGCATCACCACGGCATACACGCGATGCCCTCAGCTGAATTTGGCTACCTGGCCAGGGGCCAGGGGCCACCACCTTCCTCCCAGTCTCTGGTACCCCTCCACAGCCCAGGGCTTCTCACTTGGAAGGGCCTCTGCCAATGTCACTGCCCAGCCCTGGCCTGCCCTCCGCTCCCCGGCCCCATGCCCAGGATCTAGGCATGGGGCCTAGATCCTAGTGGGATCCTGGATCCTTATGGGACCATAAGATCCTAGTTTTTCAGCCCCAAGTCCACCCCTCCTTCACCTTCTGGGCAGACCAAGGGAGTGTGTGTGCCTTGTCCAAGGTCACACGGCAGCTTCAGAGTTTCAGAGCTGCGCCTCTGCAGGGGGCTCTTTCCCCCAAATCCTCCCACACAGAAGGCAGTGGGTGGGAGGGACTTGGGAAGCCCCAACCCTGCCCCCACCGACTCAGTTGACCCTCCCCCTTGCGGCCCACCAGGGTATGTAAATATCTTTTTTCTACCATGTCAGAATATTATTTTTCCTCACTCCTGACAATGCAAAAATGGTCTTCAAAGCACATAAAAAAAAAAAAAAAACAACACCCAGGGTGAGAAAGCCCCATCGCAGGGGAAGCTGGCAGGGCCCACGGAACCCCACCAAGCAGGATACTCGGTGAGCCCTTCCAGCCCCCAGGGAGGGGAGAGCCCAGCCCCACCCCCCGCCCAGCCCTCCCCGTAGCCAGCACCGCTGTCCCGCGGAGACGCCAGCACTGAGCCCCCTCTCCCTCCTGCAATAATTCGGGGAGCCTCAGCCCCGCCCAGGTGCCGCGGCCAGCTCTCTACACCTCTATATATTATATTACTATATCGCCGAGCTGTTCTTCCTTCCTATGGAAGTCGGAAACGTGGTCAGGACACGATCCGGGGAGGACCCTGTCTTCCTCCCACCCCCATCCCGCTCTCCCCCAGTTCCTGGACTCCGGATCCTCATGGTCGGGGGGCACACAGTGGGCCTGGCACTTGGAAAAGTGTGGCCCCTGCCCATGGCGTGAGGCACCCCAGGGACCTGCCTCTCTGTGGGCTCCATCCTGAATCTTGTACTTGCCCACAAGGAGAATAAATTCTGCCTCATCTTTGCCTGTGTCTCCTGTTTCTTTCCATCCCTACAACTTTGACCTCTCCTGGTAAGGAAGCAGCAGCCTTATGCTGTGTACCTACTGTATGCAGCCCATACATTTCCCCCCCTCCTTCTGGTCTTCTCATCTATCCTAGGAGGTAGGATTCATGTGCCCATTTCGTTATTAGAGGAAGCTGAGTTTCACAGAAGTCAGCTTGCCTGAAGTCAAGTTTATGGCAGTCTGAATCGAAACCCAGGTTTGTCCAATTCTGAAACGCATCCTCTGCTAGGAAACATGCCTAATTCTCTCTTCTCTGAGCTGCAGATGGCGCTTAACCCTGGAGCTTGATCCCTTGTAGCTGGGCATTGCCCTGACCTCGCATTATCTTGGGGACTCCCCTGGAGGAGGAATGTGTGAGGAACGGTCTTCTCATGGAAACAGCTTCCCTGGGAACAAGGAGTCCATTGAGAGACCTGGGTGCTATGGGGCAGGGAAGGAAAGACAGGATTCAGGCAGCTTCATGGTTCTATCAGGGGTGCAGGACACACCTCTGCTCCCAGAGAGAGGAGACAGTGGCAGGAGACAGGATGGTGGTGTCAGAAACAGAGCAGAGCCCAGCTGTGTCCATTTGAGTCCATGGCTCAGACATTTGGGGAAAATACCCCTGGGGTCTTGTTGATGAGCAAATAAATGATCTCCAGCTACCCCACCAGCTGAGGGAAGGGTCTTCATTCCTGCCCCTTCTCCAACTTGGGAAAGGAGGACCAGAGAGGAAGCCCATGTAGTGTGTTTCCTACAGTCTCACTAAGAATCCTTCTCAGAGAGGCCAGGGTCCCATATGGCAGAACCCTCATGTAAGCCAGAGCTGTTGGATCTCAAGCCAGATGTATATCCCTCTGAAACTCCAGGCCCTGCTCCAGGCTTTGCCCTGTGGAACCAGCGGTTTCCTGTGAGGAAGAATGTGTTACTACACAGCTCTCTTCTTTAAGGACCAAGCATCAGAGCCTCCTGAGCACCTACCATGGACTGGGTGCTGCTGGGGATACAAAGATGGACATTCAGCCCCTTCTGTTCAGAAGCTGAAAGCAGGTGGAAGTACAGAGAGCCCAAAAATGCTTCTCTCGATCAGATCCAGGAGGCTATGTCCACCAAATGGTACACACAGCGGGTTAGAGCAGGTCAAAGGAGAAAGAGAGAGAGGGGGATCGAGCCTGGAGGGCCAGGGCCATCATCAAGGACTTCCTGGAGGAGGGAGTGTTCAGCTGGGCATCGGAGGATGAGAAGGGTTTGGAGATTCATTTCCCAGGCAGCCCCCTGTGCAAGGGTGGAATGGAGAGGAGAGAAAGAATAACAGCCACGGGAGAAACAAACTGTGCTCGTGGTGGGAAGATTCCCTATTATCAAGTTGGCCAGTAGCCTCCAATTTAATCTATACATTTTATTCCCAATAAGATTTGAAATGAGGTTTTGTCTGCAGCTTGACAAGGCCATCCCAAAATGCATATGGAATAATAAAGAACCCAGAATAGCTAAGACAATTTTGAAGAAGAAAGAGAGGAAGAGGAAGGAAAACTTACCCTGCCAGATCTCAGTAATTGCTACAAAGCTTTAAATAATTAAAATCATTTGATTTGTTCCCAGGAATAGAGAAACAGAGAAGAAGGGCAGAGTAATGACTAAGAACAGATCCAAATATATCTGAGTGTTTGAAACATTAGGACAATTAAATACTCCCATGGAAAAAGATGAAAGTACATCCCCATTCACACCACTCACAAAATAAGTTCCAGGTTGATCAAAGTCCTCTCAGCAGATGTAAAAAGCAGAGTACAAAGCTTTTCAAACAAAACAGGGAAATAACTTTAAGATCTCAGAGTAGAAAATAAACAAGACACAAGCACAAATGACAAAGGGAAATGATAAATCTTATTTCATTAAAATTGAAAACTTCTACATGACAAAAAATAAGCAAATTTGTTAAAGCCACAGCTGGCAGAAGATATTTGCAACTTGGATAACCAAGAGAGAATTAGTTTCCAAAGTAAAAAATTTAAGCTTCAAAGAATCAATTTACCAAAAACATTCCAAAGCAGTAGGAAAACGGACAAAAGATGTGAACAGACAAGTAAGAGGGGAGGAAATTTGAATGCCAATAAAGGTAGTAACAAGATTCTCAATATCACTAGTGAGCATGGAAGTGCAAATTAAAACAAAAATTAGATAGCATATTACACAATCTGATTGGCAAAATTAGTCTATAACACTAGTATCGATGAGTGTGGTGGGTGGGGGCGACAGCAATGTTTGTAAACTGCTGGTGGGAATGTAAATTGGTACAACTACTTTGGAGAAAAATTTGGAAACAGTCAGTTTTAAGATGAGCAAATCTGAGACACAGTGGCTCTGCCTTCGGTTAGGTGTGTGCCTGTCTGAAGTTAGGTCCCCTAAGCAGTGTCCGAGATTCTTGTGCAGGTGGTTTATAGAGGGAGGACTCTCAGGTGGAGAGAGGGGGTCAGGCAGATAACGTAGGAGGAAATGTTAAGTAATGGTAGGTTCTCAGCTGGAGATTATCTTCAATCTGACCCCATGGGGAGCTCTGAAGCATTAATAACATTGCAGAGTGAATCTGCCTTGAGGCAAAGAGGCCAGGCTTTTGCATCAGTCATTGGCTTATCCATCAGTCATTGGCTGTGGGCTGCCCAGTGTAGGGGGTGGGGTGCAGGGGGGTAACTTATAACTTCCTGGATGCAGAAGTTCCCTAGAAGCTATGAGCAGCTGTGAGTCCCTAGGAGCCAGCACTCACAGCAGCTGGGGGATGAGTTGCACCTGCAGGTCATAGAATCTGGGTAAGAACCCATAGTGTTTTCTATGCATCCTAGAGAAACTCATGCATGCGTGCATGCCAAGTCACTTCAGTCGTGTCTGACTCTTTGTGACTCTATGGACTGTAGCCCACCAGGCTCTTCTGTCCATGGGATCCTCCAGGCAAGAATACTGGAGTGGGTTGCCATGCCCTCCTCCAGGGGATCTTCCCGACCCAGGGGTTGAACCTGCATCTATGTCTCCTCCATTGACAGGCAGGTTATTTACCATTAGTGCCACTTGGGAAGCCCTGGAGAAACTCAT